TGTGACAAGTGACACAATGCTTGGTGCTCTTATCTTGTCCCTGGCTCTGTACAAGAGCCCTGGTCAGTCTGTCTGTTCTGTCTGCCTGTCTTTCCAATTCCTCCAGAGAGGAATGCGAAGTGATTAGTCTTCACCTGCCCAGCTGTTGTGATGTCTGTGCTGAGTGTTACTTGGGTAAGGTTTTCCTCCCCACTCTGCCTGCTCCTTTCCAGCCTGCTCCAGAGACTTGAACCTAGTTACTTATTCCCACCTGCCGTTAATCTGGGTGTTGGTTTAAGAGGGATGAACCTGGCTGATTTTTAGGCTTTTTGCTGCAGCTCAGCCCACCACCCTATCGTGGGAATGTGGGATAGTTGGGGCACAACTATTTATCTAACAATATTTAACCAAAATTACTCAAGTCTGATGGGGATGAGTCCAGACTCAGCACAGCCGTGGCAGGACAGCAAAGCAAAGAATCCCCTTGAGATCTTGCTTGTGCAATCCCTCGCTGCCAGTGATGAGTTAGAGGTATCTCCACTGCTCCTAACAAGCTCCTGTCATGCCATGTGCTGATGTGTTTTTAATTTTTTTTTTAAGGCAACGGATTCTAAAAGCAGAACAGTTTTTGCTGCTCGTACTGTGGTTCAACACAAGTGGCTGAGGCTTAGATTTGCTCAGACCCCTGAAGAAAGCCCAGATAAAATAGCTTTTTTTATTTTTTTTTTTTACAATAAAACCCCCCAAACCTTAAATACTTCCATGTACACCAGATCCTTGATATTTTTCTGAGAAAACCATGGAAGTCCTAATGTAGTATTCTGCTCTGATTTATTAGCCTATTTACCATGCAGATGCACTGGGGAGTGCATGTAGATCTAAAGTAGCTTGCACTGACACCTGCACAGCCAAAATTCCTGCTCTCCAATTTCCACTCCTTTATCCCAAAGAAAAATATGGTCTTAAGATGCTGCAGATATCCAGTGGTGGCTTTGTGCCAAAGACTTTTGGGTCTTCTCAGGTCTTAAGGGCAGCACTGGGGACCTGTACAAGGGAAGGGATGGAAAGGGGATCTTACTCTTAAGACAAAAGGTTAAAGCCTTAAACTTTGGCATATGACTTTCATGGGTTTGTTTTCAGGGCTGTCTTTGCATAGAAGATGTCATTATCTAAACAGGGGTTGGAGGGGAAGCAAGTAGGGGATTTCACTTCTCTGGGTTGCTATCAGGGATGTTATGTAAAGGGCAGCTGCAATGAAACTGCTTTGGAGTATAGCAAATAAATTTCCTGCTGCATTTCTTGCTTCCAAATATTAAGTCGTCTTGTTCATGTTGAGAAGCTGGATGGGTCCTGTTCTTCTGCAAATGGTGGGAAATAAAAAATGGAGGCGTTCCACAGTGCCCTGGCAGGGCTCTGAATGTGCTGACACAAGGCCACAAGCGAAGTCTAATGCTGGCAATTCATCAGTGTTGCTAAAATTGAAGTGAATTCCCAGCGAGTCGCTTGTAGCGTATTCAATAACGCTGCGTGCTTGTGTGCATGCATCCTAGAAATTCGGGATATGCGTGTTGCCTTGATGTGGCTGCCAGGGGATGTCGGAGATGCGTTGCTGACTATTTGGTTTTCCCCTGGGCAGAACCTGGAGCACAGCCTAACAGATAAGGTCAGCCACCCCTGGCAGCTCTCCTTTAACTGTGTGAGGACAGAGACAGTAATGCCCGTAGCTAGCTAGCTTGCCTAAAATAGACTTTTGCAGCCTGCTTTGTCCAGCAAGGAGGACCACAAAAATAGAAATGAAAATTTTACATGGCCCTAACCTCTTCTTTCTGTTTAACTATGCTTAATCCTGACATTCAGGTGTGAAATCTAGTTATCGCTGCTGTTAGTGAGACATAACTGGTGATTGATTTCTGCCTTGTCAATAGAGGGTGAATCCATGGTCTTCTGTATCCATTTTCTCCCCATGAAGGGCTCCTCCATGGAGGTGCAAGGGTCAAGGGTGTTGCATCTTTTCAGCTCCTCCATAACTGGAGGAAAGCAGTGATAGTGCTGTGAAGGAGGAGGAAATGGGTGGCAGGCTGGTGGTGGTTGGTTGGGCCTTCTCCTGATGGATGTGTCATGGGCAACCTCATGAAGGGTTTTGTCTTGCATTGCTTAGTGGGTTCCCCTGCAGTAAGTAAATGAGTGGTTCATAGGCCAGGCAGAACAACACTTGGGAAGTCTCTGTGTGTTTTTCCCCCTATTTTTCATAGAATCATTAAGGTTGGAAAAGACCTCTAAGATCATCGAGTCCAACCGTCAACACAATACCACCATGCCCACTGAATCATGTCCCTAAGCGCCTTATCTACACGTCTTTTAAATACTTCCAGGGACGGTGACTCCACCACTTCACTGGGCAGCCTGTTCCAAGGCCTGACCACTCTTTCAGTGAAGATGTTTTTCCTAATGTCCAATCTAAACCTCCCCTGGTGCAACTTGAGGCCATTTCCTCTCGTCCTATCGCTGGTTACCTGGGAGAAGAGACCAACCCCCACCTCACTACAACCTCCTTTCAGGGAGTTGTAGAGCGCTATGAGGTCTCCCCTCAGCCTCCTCTTCTCCAGGCTAAACAGCCCCAGTTCCCTCAGCTGCTCGTCATAAGACTTGTGCTCCAGGCCCTTCACCAGCTTCGTTGCCCTTCTCTGGACACGCTCCAGCACCTCAATGTCCTTCCTGTAGTGAGGGACCCAAAACTGAACACACTGTTCCGGTGGATTTGCTAGTATCTCTGAGTAATGTTATAGCACTTCAGTGGGCCTTTAAGATAACAGCCCACAACCAGGATGGCCATATCCAGCTGTCTCCTTTCCCTGGATCAAGTTTGAGTGGTGTGTTGCTTGGATGAAATGATGAACAAGGCTCTGGGCCTTCCAAAGCATTACCTCTGTACCCAGAACAGCTTTTTTGAGAAGTTTGAAAGATCCTGGTCCAACAAATGTAATTAGATGTTTTTGCTCGTGTTGATAAAGCAGCACTCTGTGCTCATCTGTGATGAGTACCTGAGAGAGCTGTCAGCAGCGAAGATTGATACATGCTTGAAACTGATAAGAGGAACCAAGAGTTGCTGCATAATAAAAGGACAACATGAATTTCTGTTGTGTTTGTATGCATCCTTAAGGACAGACTGCAGATATGCAGATATCTTTTTAGCACGTGCTTGCTATTGTTCGGGGTTGTGGGTATTTTTTGTCTCTAGAACTATTTTTTGCAAGAGCAGAAAAAACAAAACATGTTTTCTCCTCAATGAATATTTATGGCTTCCAAATCTTCCAGCATACTCTTGCATGTGTAATTAGGCTGTAAGTTGAGTAAGTGAGTGTTGAAGATCTAGAAATGTAAGAGCCTGGGGAAAATGCTTGATGTTTCTGGTTTATTCGGGTGCTTGCTTTTTAATAATCAATAGCATTTTTTAGATGAAACAGCTTGTGTTTTCCAAAAGATGTGCCAACAGATGTGTCAAAAGCATAATAATTGGGACCGTTGCACCAGCAGACTTGTCTAGTTAAGTGATGCTTTTAATCACATGTACAGCATCCAAGAGCTTTGGGAGAAGTTGGGTGATGTAACCAAAGCCTCTGAACCATCTTATTTTGTTTAGTGAGAGATGAAGGCAATCCTTTCCCCCTTCCCTGCTGCGGTCAACTCTCCTCCCAGTTTGAGTTGCAGCCTTTTAACCCCCCCGTGAACACGACTTAAACTCCAGTTTGATCAGGGATGGTTTTGGTTAAAGCAGCTTTCTCTGTGCAAAAAAAAATCATTACTTTTTTTGGAGTTCTAGTGTTTTCATGTGTACGCAGCTGAACTGCATTTTCAGTCAGCTTATTTTTTGGACAGTAGCAGGCCTGGGCTTGAAGGTGCCTGTGTGTGTGGTCAGCCTGTGAAATGGGATTGCAGCAGTTCTTATAGGGTGAGGATTTGGAAGTCCAGATCTGGAAACGAAGCAAAAACCTTGTCTGAATAGCTGTAACTCTGTGTTACATCTCTGTACTTTTCCACAGCTTGGCCTCTGGAAATGTTTTTGGTCTTCAGTGGTTTTTTTCCATGCTGTCACTATGCTCATTTGAATGAAAACTGTTCATGCGTTTCATGTATAATTTTGATAGCAGGTCAACCTTGTAGGTTTTTTTTGGAGGAGAAGGATGCACGGACAGTACCTGTGGTACTAGCGATGCTACAGAGGTGCTGCCTTGGATACAAGCAGTACAGAGTGGCCTTGTGGCAAAAACAACTGGATTTTATTTATGATTTTTAGCTTATACCCAAAAATTGCTTCACAGATACTCCAAGAAAATGTTAACGTTGGTGCTTGGAAGTTTGAACTGGGAACTTTTTGGGTATCCCTGTCCATGTAACTCAGCTGCATATTAAGTGATATTTAATAGTCTCTAAACAGCAGTTTTCTTTCCCAAGAGCTCTGTTGCTTTACGCTTAGATTTATGGAGGCAGCGTGGTGAGTTGACAGGACATTAATGTGCTCATCTTCGAGTCACTGTGTGTGATCTCTCGCAGCCCGCTCCCTTGGAAGTGCCTGGGTGTTATTGTTGACTCTTTAACGAGGATAAGAATGGTTTCCAAACAAGTGACTCATGCAATCTTAGCCTCAATCTATCAAACAACGATGCATGGGATTAAATGATTACCTAAAGGATTAGGAGTTAGATTTTGGGGGGGAAGGGAAGGGAGGGGTGAAGGGTAAAAATACGTAGGGAATCTGGAGAGAAAAGAAAAAAATAAAAAAAAAACCTGCAAGACTCAAACCCTAACTGATCAGATAATACCAAAGGCTGCTTCTACACTTTACACTTCCAAAATGGGAAATGTTGTAAAAATTGAATCTCTGCTTTTTTCTAGAGATCATCCTCTGCCAAGAGAATGATACTTCACCTTGTTCTGAGCCTTCTGCTTGGTTCCTGCTTGCCTGTCAGGTACCTGCAATAGTAACTCTTTCCTGATTTGATTTTATTTTTTCCCCTTTCCAGCTGAAAATGAAAGTGCTGGCTGCGTGTTACTGCACACATCAAGGAAGGTAAGTAGGAATGCTGTGTGATCAATTTATTTTTTTTTCGTCATCTAGAAGCAGAGAAAAGGATCTTGAAACACTCCATCGGGGCGAGGAGGTTGTTTTTACTGGCTAAAATAGAAGGTGTATTAATGCCTCTTTCCTTGAATTCCTCTGTCTTTCTTTAAACATAAAAAGCCATGTGCTGCTTGTCCTCCAAACAATTTCTCTGTAATTCTGATTCTTCCACTGCTTTTTGTCCCAGACAATTCCTTGACATGTTAATTCATCACTTTCTCTTCTGCAGCTGCCTGCAAAGGGATCCAAGTATACGGCCGTAGAGGTTCAGGCTGCTGAGCTCCTCTCGAGCTGAAAGCAGAAACACCCAATAGACACTGCTGTGATTTGGTTTCCTGTTTATTCTAGTTAATCAGATCTGCCTTCACGAGGTTCAGCTGCAGGAGTGAATTCCCTAGAAACATGCAGTCTGGGAGGACAAGTAGGAAACAACGCTTGGTTTACACTTGCTCTCGAGACCATAACTCAATAATGATAAGGTGAAAATGCAAAAAAAACTCATGTAGGCTGTATTACTACAAACCTCTGACTATGAAAGTACACAGAAAGTATGCAGAGAGGAAATGGATTGATATTTAATACCACATGAAGTCTTGGTTGTGAGGCATGGCTCATAGTGCTTTAAGTTGTCTTGACTCTTGCCTCGTCTGCTGGTTGGAGGGGCTGGCTGGCTACATGAAGACTTGCAGCATCGCTGATCCTGGTAAATCATATATTGCAGGCTTCACTGAAGATTGTAATTTGGGTTCTTAAATCTGTGTACCAAAGCCCTGGGGGCTTTTTAGGGAATCCCGGAGAGCTCTTCAACTCTGCTTTGCTTTAGGGCCTCTAAGGCAGTTCAAATCCTGAAAAGGTATTTCAGCAGGCTGAATTAGTAAGGGGAGGAAAATGTGTAATAGCTTTAGTAGAAGAAACCTTCCCCAAAGTTTAAAAACAAACAAACAAAAACCCCACAACGAAAAAAAACCCACAAAAACCAAACCCACCACCACCAAAAAAATAAACATTGTTTGATATTAAGTCATAGAAGTTAAAATAAGCTATTCTGTGCTCAGGAATGGAAATATCTTTGTCAATAATTTGTCTTGTCTAATACTTAGTGCCAAGGTTCTCCAAGTTGTATACACTTGACTGGAAGTAACTGAAGAACTTAATCACTTAAAGTATGCATTCTAAGCCCAAATGCAGGATCTGCCTCGGATAAGAAATGGTTGGAAACTGCTAACACTTAAGTGTGTCTTCTATTGTATTTTTCCTTTTCAGACCTGTAGGATTCCTGCTTTTCTGGCCTATAGTTCATGCTTGAACATTTTAGTGTGCTGTTGAGCAACAAATACCAGAGAGCTAACATGCTTTAGCAGGGCTTGAGAAAAGATACTATTGCTAGTTTTTGCCTCTAGGGAGGACGAGTAGAAATTTTGCACTTCAAATGCAAAGGAAATTGGGACCTGAGTCATGGAGGAGATTGCTCCAAGTGTCTAGGAAGGGGGAGTCGCTAGCAGAAAAGTGATCAGGTCAGAAGCTTTGTCTGGAGATGTTTTCCTGCTAGGTTGTCCCTGTCTCTGGTGGTAGACCTGTGGTTCTTGTGCCCCTTTAGGAGTGCTGGAAGGGCAATCTGTCTCGGGCAAGTTGCTATCTGGCATGGCACTTGGTAGGCATAAATAAGGAGAAGCTCCTTGGCGTGGTTTGAACCATTTAATCACAATCACAGTGTGTTTCTGAGGGAATTGGCCCAAGTGACTATGGCAGCAGCACAGGTAGAGCTCTGCTCAGGACAACATGCTTTTTGGACACCCCTTCTTGTAAGGTTCTTGCAGTGTCTGTAAGCGGAGGTGATCTCCAGAGCAGCCACCCAGCAGAGAATGTGCATTTTGGGCCTTCTTGAGAGTGTCGAGAGCTCTTTTTTGCACAGATAGTGTGCGACTTCAGCTAGGAGACCTGCCTGAAGTCAGGGGAGGCTGTTTCAATGTGTTCCCCCTTCTTTGGCACAACAGCCTCTGTTCTTGCCACGATGCAATGTGCAGCTTTGCAATCAAGGATACTCAATGCTATTAAAATGGCTGTTGGGTAGTTGTCTTGGGTTTCTTGCTAAGCAGTTTCCAGCATCAAGTATCCTGGTGTGACTTGACTATCTGTCTAAAAATATTTGTGAAGGAGCAATCACTAATGTCTCCTGAAACCACTGGGTGTCCTGACTGAAACAGTTCTGTTTGAGCTATCTCCAAGGTGCTGCTGTACCAGTGCTTCCACTAATTTGATTTTGGTTTGTCTCAGGGAGTGGGGTATGTATATCCTTTCATGGTGGCTAGTTGCCTTGCGATGTTCAATGTGCATATCTTTCCCAATATTATGGGAGTGATAGTAAGGATGGGTAATGCCTGTATTTCCTATAAAGGACCAGGGGAGTAAAACAGGACTGAGGCATGGAAAATTATTTATCCAAGGCATTTCCTGAAGCTTGTGGCAGAGCTGGAGCTGAGTCCTTATGACTTGCAGCAAGCTCCGACAGTGCTGTCCTGCCGCAACAAGCAAATGATGCTGTCGTGCACAGCTCGCTGGAGGATCAATGTTGATTGAGATGATGTGGACAGATAATAGCCCTCTTCTGAATGCCTTTGATTCACTTCTGCTGTCTCTCAGCTGTCCCTCAACTCTGTCCTTCCACTGTTCTGCTTCTGGTGGCTTTTCTCATGCATGGGAGACGTTGGTGACACAAAGCTACTCTTTGTTTTTTGAAAGCTCCTCAGCACTGTGGCACTCCTGATGCTCTTAACCTTCGTCATACCTCTGTGGGTACCTCCTCTGCCATCCACCTTGTTAAATCCTGTCTAGGTCATTTGGCCTCTTTGCTGTTTGAACCGACATCCTCAGTTGGACTCTGCATGCCAGACAAGCCAAAATGAGTTACTTTTGGGAAGTGGTTGCTGATCATATGGTGACCCCATGAACACCAGTGTTACAGATGGTGATAGGTGTTTTAATCTACTCTTGTGCCGTGATAATCTGAGACTGACTTGGCCACTTGCAGTTATATGGTCTCTTTTAGGTGGAGTTTTAACGTAGCTGTGTCACTGTTTCCTCTCTTAAGAGCAGATGGCAACAAAGCCTTGGGGTGGGAGCTGAAATCCGTCAGAGAATTCTCCCTTTCAAGGATGCTGTGTACGAAGTGATTGATGCAAAGTAAAACAGTGCTAATTGCAATGGATGTGTACTGACAACTTGATAGTTGCTGTGATAATTACAGTGATTAGTGAGATATTAGGATTTTTTTTCTCTCTGTCTAGGCTATAAATGGAAAAGGTAGAGAGGATATGTGTGAGAGGAGGGTATTCATGACTCAGACTCTGGGGTGGTCCTGTAACTTGGTCCCGGTTGTGGAGGCAACTTGGTGTCAGACTTGTAAAAGCAATTCAGAGCTTGATTCTTACTGAGCTTAAGGGGAACTGGGGGTTTAAATGTATTTTGACAATCTGGCCCTCAACATCATGAATTCAAGCCTGGAATTCATGGAAGCAAGATCCATATAACAAAGCGCGGTTCCCATTTCCTCACTCAATCTTAAGCTGTTGAAGGGAGAGGACAGGACTGTCAGTCCTTCTTGACCAGTACTGTGAGTGCTAACTGCATGTGTGGATTTCCGAGGACTATGAAATGGGAATGATGCATTTGTAGTTTGATCACTCAATTAACGATCTTCACAGCTGCCAAATACAGAAAGGAGTTGAGGTTCTGTAATACAGTGTGGCTGTTTCTTCCATCTCAAGGCCAACAAACCTGGGGCGAGAGTTGAGACAGTTTCAGCCTCTGCTGTTGTGTTTTTGGTTTTTGTTTTTTTTTTATTGATTCAAAGCTAAATGTTATGCACAAAGGAAGCAAAATTCCTTGGGAGTGGGAACAATAGGAATTTAAGAAGTGTCAAAAAAGGTGATGGGCTGGATAGTATTGCCCATCTCCCATTTCAGGCTCCCTAACCAGGAGTGCTGGAGAGAGATGGTTCCCAGTTTGAGAAGAACTGGGTTAGGTTGCACTGAGATGCATGCTGGTAATTTTTCTTGCTGCTGAGCTCACAGTCCATTTCTTCCAAATAACTTGTCCTACCTTTCTGCAAACTCGTTGAATTATTTAAACCTAAAGAGGATTTTAAATGCTACCTTAAGCATTTTTGGTTTTAGGCTAACTTCTGTGCTTTATCCTAGGCAACAAAACTATTTTTTTTTAATTCTGCTTTCTACATCAGGGTGTAAATGGTGCCTACATATTCACCTGTGGTGACTCTGTTAGGGTAAGCCTTGGAAATGCCAGCCTTCAATGCATTAATAGTGTAACATAAAACTGCTTTTCTTCTATAATGTGATCTGAATGGTCAAAGTGATTCCAGAATCATTGGTTCGGTGGCAGTAACCTCAACAAAACTGTCTGCTTGTGAACTACACAGATCCTAGTCCTTTGCTGTTAGGTATTGTGTGCAGCTGTCTAATGCTCTGACCTCTTCTTAACACAGTACCTGAAATTAAAGAATTTTGAGGAGGAAGTCAGAGCCCACCGAGACCTGGATGGGTTCTTGGCCAGAGCCAGCATCATCCTTGATGAAACGGCCACCTCCTTGGATGATGTTCTTCGAGAGATGCTGAAACACTTTGCTGAAGATCCTGAGAACATGGAGCCAAGCTGCAACTTTGAAAAAATCATGAGCACTTTATTCACAGATTCAGGGACCCCACGAGAAGGGAATGGTAATCAACTCTTGATTTGTTTTTGCCTGTGGGTTACTGTTAAGTTGTAATCCTTTCCATTGGTGGTGTATTGAACACTCACTACTGTGTGGTCCCCAGACTTGCATGTTGCATGTGGCACTGCGGGTTTATTTTTCTATGTCACCCAGGGTGAAGGGTCTCGTGTCTCTGGGGTTTTTATGTTTTGGTGGAGTCTTGCCCCTGTTTCATTAAGATGACACATAGTGGTGTTCTCTGGGGTGAGAAGACTACAGCAGTGGAGGGTCCTGTCTGTTTGGGCCTATTAGGTGTGCTTGTCCTCAGACAAGTGTCTGATGCTCTTCAGCAAGGAGACACTTGCTGGTGTCCCTTCAGAAATGGCTCCTTTGCCTTGTGATTCCTTCATCTGAATTCACCCAGGCTGGGGAAGTTTGCTTTGGACAAGTAATTGGTTGGGGAGGGCTGAGCCTTCGCGTTGCTCCCAGCACACTGGAAGGGACAAGAGACGCTTTGTTTTCCTCCAGAAACTCAACTAGGGCAGCCCTGGCCAATGTTGTTGGCTCACATGTCACCTTAAGCTATCAGCAAATGTCATAGTGTAGTCTAAAACGCTACCTTTTAGCCCAAGATGTAAAGAAGCTTAACTAAGCGTTGTTTCTCTGTAGGCACCCATGATGTTTCAGAGTCAACAGGAATGAATATACAAACATGTACATCGCACCTCAAATGTAACTGTCACAGCCTCAGTGAATTTGTTTAACAGATATGTCAAGTCCTGAGCGTGTAGTAAGCATGTTCATGCTTTGGTTACTTCTTGCTACCTGTCTTAGAGCTTCGCATTTATAATCTCTTTAATATAGGCTTTCTGCCAATAAAGAAAAAATAAGCAATGCCATAAAATAATCTGAGAACTTAGTAGTTAGGAAGAGGGGGAGAGAGGGCAGGGGAGTCAGAAGACACTGCCTCTTCTGGTCCTGTCTATGTGTGTGTGTGTTGAATAATGCTAATCTAATAATCTAATATTGCAGTAGGTTGATGTTGGGAGGAGAAAACAGCTGCCTTTCCAAGCTGTGAATAGTTTAAGGACAGAATTCAAAAGCATCAGGACAAATGTTTCCATCTTTCTCTGTCACCCCCCACCCTTGCATCAATCCACTGTGCAGATAAATAAGTATGCTTGGTCTTAGTATTCAGCTTCCATTTGAAAGGAAATGTTATTTGCAGTTGCAAACCAAACACGGACAGCCTGTAACGTTTCCCTCTCTTCTTTTCCCAGTTCACCTCTTATCAGATACAATTCAAGGGGTCACAGCGACAGTCACAGGGGTGCAGTATCAGCAGTCCTGGCTCTGTATCATGTAAGTATCTGGGTTAGATTAGCAGAATCCACTGGCTGCTCAGAACTTGTAACTCTTCCTCCTGCTGGGAAGAATAGCAGTTCAGACGGTGCCCTTGTAAATCGGGATGGTGGTGCCCTCTCGATGCATCCTGGTCCATGGGATCTCAATCTCAGCATTGGGCTGCTCCTCTTTGCAAATGGTCGAGCAGCAGCCTGAGCAGAGATGACCACAGTCTCTACAGGGCATTAAGCTCTTGGATGCTACCGAAATCTGGTGTTAACAAGCTAAGAATGCTGAAAAAAGTCTGAGCCAGAAAATGCTAATTACTGAGAAATGTTAATGAGAGGAACTTCTGAAAGGGACAAGCAAACTGGTTCATGGACTACTTTGCCTGCCAAAGTCTGGGAACTTGTACCAAAAGATTTCTTAGGTCCTTTGATGAAAACATCTAAACTTTGTAACTGAAAATTGAAGTCAGAAATTCCAACACTATTTAGACACTGATTACTTTGACAATTAATTCAGATGCTGGTTAATTGTCAACACCGTTAAACACTGGACCAGACCCTTAAGACAGTAAGGACTATGTCACCTGGGATTTATGAGACATGGTGGCTTCACCCCAGCTTCCACTTAACCAAAACTGGGTTTTGAAATTATTATCTCCAAGTCAAGCATGTTGGGCGAGCCAAACTGTCCCTTCAAAGAGGAAGGCCAGAACCTGTGTCACTGAGTCAACCAAAGCAATGCGATTTGACTTCTCTCTGTTGCCTTATGCATATGCAGTCTAAGTCAAGTTGTCAAGAAGTATGTTAATTCCCAGAGAAGTTACTAGGATTTGTTGGATAGGTGCCTAAAGGCTTGGGGAGTGCATGCACATATTTTAGCCTTTACAGCCAGTTCGCTAGGACAACTTTCGATAGCTTTTGTTCTACTAGCAGTTCTTCTCCTACCCTCTGCTTATGGCTGGAAAAAATGTAGAGTATTCTGCCTTGGAAATAGATGGTTTTTGAAAAAAAAACAACACAACAACAACAAAACCAAAAACTGCCAACAAACAACAAAAAAACCACCCTTGTTTCCAATCTCTGACGAAAGAGAGAATTGTGGTCTCTATGTGAAAAGGTAACTATTGCATATCAGGGCTCTGTTCTGTGAAATGAGTGAACTGGAAAATGTTTGTGCTGCATGTGCTACTGTCAGCTCTACACTTATGCTTGGCATGTACAGAGCAGCTTGCACAAAGAAGAAAATGAGTTTACACAGTAAAATGGTCTTTCTGGACTGATCAACCAAGAGGGTTTTTGAGCAGTTTTCTCCCCTTTGGATGCTATAGGTAGGATAGCAGCAATAAGGATACGTACATCCTGATCTAGGAAGGGTAGAGGGTGGAGGTTTCTACTGTAGCATGTGACATGGCTCTATGGAGGCTTTGGAGAGCGTTGACTTAACAGCGTTTCTAGAGGTCATGATACAAATGCCGTGATTATATACATGAAGCTGAAAAGGGTAGGTTCAGCCTTTCTGTGGAAAGTGTGCCAAAGCTTTAAATGCATCCATGTGAGTAATACTTGCTTCCATGACAAGACATGATTTGAAAAATAAGCTTACAGCCTGAAGGTGTCTTGTGCAAAACTTTCCTTGTTTCTTCCTTTTGTTGCTGTGAAGAGGGAGAAGAAAGTGGTGGGAAAGCAGTGATGAGTTATTAACTATAATTATCTAATTACTGCACTGTATTTCTGCTGTAGCTATTGTGCAACAGATTGAGAACCATATTTTTAGATCTTACATTTTTCTTGAAGTCAGATTGCAAAACAACTTCCAAAACTCTGAAGTAAAAGGAATTTGTTGATGAAAAAACTTTCCATATGAGTGGGAAGAACCTTTAAGATATCTGCTGTTCTTTATCCTTGCATTTAGCCTATACTCTTTGCTAAATTTTAAATTAGCACTGCTGTTTTTTGTGCACCGAAACTAACTTTTTATTCCTAGTGGATGAGATAGGCTTGAGTATCATGATATGATTATATTAATGAGGAAGAGCAGCTCAGAGATACGGTTTTGGTAGTGCTGCTTCTGCACTGATTTCAAGGGGAAATATTAAAGCTGAAATTAGCTTAGAGTCAGAAAGAAAAAACTTGCGTAGGATTTTCACTGAGTTGTGCAGAGCCTGGCTGCAGAAGAGCATTCCTGATGGACACAAAAATTTGGTTCCCTCTCCCTTCTGTGCTGGAGAGAGGGCTGCTCTTTATCTGACTTACCCTCAGGGAAGAGCAATGAGGAAAACCTAGGGCAAAATAAGTATTCTGCTTCTGCTGGAATTGGTGCTTTCCTGACAGTTTCAGGTCTATTGAACTGCCAGCAAGGTCAGATGTACCATATGGATCTGGGCTATAGCCATGTGACAGAACAAACCATTGGGGAATTGAAGATCTGAAGGTTTGAATGTTCCATTGAAGTCCAGGAAAACAACTGGCTTCTGATTCACAATAGGCTTTGGGACTTTTTTTTTGTCAAGAATGACAAAAACATGATCTTGCTGAAGCCATACCAGGGTACATAAATTTGTGGAAAACTTGAGACTCCTTCATTAAAATTCTGTGTAGCTGAGAGTAGCACAGTACTTCATGCCCCACTAACAAGCAATCTTCAGCTCTAGAAGAATGAAGGTTGCTAGGTATTTGTGTACGTGATCGTTTTCTAACTAGAAAGCAAATCTTCAGAGTTATAGATTAGCTTCATCAGTCAGGGACATGATCTCATACCTTAGAAACCATGGACACAACTCTTTCTATGTCCTATTCATAGCATTTGCCAGAACAGCAGGACGCAAACTGGCATGGAGATCTCTTGCTGCTTCATTGTGAAGCTGCTGGTTAATTGTTTCATTAGAGAGCTTGGGATGAGGGATAGCCAGACCTGTCCCAGAACAGGGAGTGCTGAACTGTTATCTTAATCAGTTATTTAGCATGAGGAAGCTCTGCTGTCAGTAGGAGCTTAGGGAGGTACTTTGGTACCCCTCCAGCACACAGTGACTGCATCAGGTAGACATACTGCCAGGAGGGTGCTCGGAGTTCCCCATGAACCACCCAGAGCCTGGAGGGGGTAAACTTGGATGCTTTGCATGTCTGGACCAGGACAGGTGAGGAAGAAGCCCCTGTGAGAGCTATTGGTTTTGGTGTTGCACAGCTTTGTGGCTCAAAAAGCCCAAGGAAGGTCCCCCCCTTATTCAATGGAGAGTACAAGGAGAAGTGGCTGTCATCACAAGCCAAGTCCTATCACACCCAATTCTTTCTTTTCGCTGTCTGACAAATGGAGATGCAAATGCATATTTTCTTAATTTTTTTTTTTTTCCCTTGGAGTGAAGGATACCTAATGCTAAGGATGTTAAAGTAACTGTTAACTGCCTGCTGGTAGATCTCTCTCCTTGATGTCCTCCTAGGAGAAAACACCAGCTGTGTGGGTTATTGAACAAATGCTGCCTGAGCTGAGTGGAATTCCCCAGGCATCACAACTTCCAGGCTATATTCTTCTTGCCAGGAGATAGATATAATTGCTTTCCTCCAAAGCTGAATCCTTAGAAAAACATGAAAGCAAGCTGCTTCGTAGTCTGGATTGAGTAGTTGAAGAGTAATTTCCTTTGGCTGCATTGATAAGGCACATGGATTGGTGAAGGACTTATTTTCAGTGCATTCAACTGATTTGCTAAAGCTGTTTTAACAGGCAAAGCAGAGGGGAAAAAGCCTCTCTGCAAGCAAAGAGTGGTTTAGTGGTTTGTGTGCTCTGTGTTGCTATAAAATTGCTTACTCTGATATAGTGTGTCATTGCAATGATTCCTGTGGAGGAGTTTTGATTCCTGGGAGGAGTTTTAATTTGGAAAAACGCAGGTAGCCTTTCAAAAACAGGTATTGTAAGGTTATTTTGTATATTGAGCAAGACTGCTGTTCAAATAAACTTTAAGAGTAGTAACATCTCATATTTAATGTGTAACTGATGGTTGTGTGAAACATGTTACTAATGGATCTCTCAACAAAAGTAATGCAAACCAGAGGTTTGTGGGTCTATAGAAAAGCCATGTTGCTTCTGATTTAGCTGTTGAATAGTTTTCAAATAGAGATGCTTCAATTACTGTGTATTCCTCAGAGTAGTGCCTCTTCTTTCAAAGAGCAAAATGGGATGCTATGGGAAATTAAACAGTTCAACTGTTTAAAACAAATATTCTCCTTCAGAGGGATGATGACAAGATTTGGAGTCTTGTAAACAAGAGCCTCTTTTCCAAAATTTGCAACCATCATCTCAAGTGTTCTTTGGGTTCAAAGAACTGATTGATTTTCTTTTAAGTGCCTGTAGCTACCCTTGTTGGGCTGTCCCAGGTTATGCTGGAGAGCTGAAGCTCTTGCAGGTGCTGTGTTAGGAAAAGGAGTTCTCAAATTCAGACCCTTCATTAGGAATTTGGGTCCTGAAGGAGGTCTGTTGGAGAGAAGGATGACTTGTTTCAGTGCCTGCAGCATCTGTACAGGGAGGAGGAGGAGGTGTCTGCTTAGGCATTGACCTGTAGGAAATACTTTCCCCTAGAGAGATTCACTGCTAGTGAGGATGGGTCTTTCTGGAGCCCAGCAAAGTGCATCTACCAGTCCGAAACGATATTTAGCCTGGAGCGACTTTGTTGCTGAAACAACTTTGTGCCAAGCTACGGGTGAGCTGGCTTGCTGGTCACAGCCTCATTCCTCGCTTGCAAATTCTGGTTTCTGAAAGCTTGTGCTTGGAGCTGCTCTGCGGAGGAAGATTTATTTGCAGTGGATGAGAACAAGAAGTGTCATTGTTGTTCTGCATTGGGACAGGAAAAGGCTGGCCAGCTGATTACCTCTGCTGGGCACTTTTTCTTACTGCAGGGGATAATTTGTTTCTGAATTAACTTCCTTTCTTGCCTTGTTTAAAGAGGGTTTCTGTTTCTCTTGGGTCTCCATAGTTTGACCCTTTTTATGATTTGTTTGAGAAATGTGTTATTACTCTGATAACATCTTGGGCGTGGGGCAGACCTGCAGTGTGTGTGACTTGGTGTATCAGTGATTTTGGTGGAATGTTGCCAGTTCTTACCATCTGAGTACCACGCTCAACGCTGCTGGATATGCAGCCTGGAAAGAGAGGAGGGCAGCGAAGCGGGAATGCGTGCTATAATTTAAATGCCCTTTTTATGAGCTCAATTATTGGAGGATCAAGATAAAATTGCTGAGAACACAACCTGGCATCTCATTAAATCATAGCCCAGCATTTCCTTGTGTGACTAATACTGGGTGAAAATAGATTTTTCAGCTTGTTGGCCAAACCAAAGGAGAATCAAATTTAGCTCAACCCAAACCAAAAGGGAACTCGGAGTCTTTGGCCAAACCAGACTTGATTTAGAGTCAGCTGAAAATGTCTTGCTAGTTCTCAGGTTTTTTGGGGCTTTGGCTATTTACCCTTCAGAATTATTTTTTTTCTTAGTGGGGAATTTACTTAAGTGCTACTTAAAAAATGTTGCTTCATTTTGAAAGTGGCTCTCCTCTTGGCCTGAACTATGCTGAGTTTTACCTGCAGTCTTGCATAACTTGGGATTTCTCCGTGTGAACCAAATAACTTTTTTTGTCCTTTATAAATATTTGCACAACTCTAGTAGGGACTGCAGTTTTGGTTTGTGTTATATTTGTATCTGGATTCTGGAGTTAAACCAAAAGTGGGAGCTGTAAGTGCTACACTGGGGAATAGGATTTGAGTCAGCTAAATAATGGCTTAAATTTGAAGAAAAGCTTGAGATATGCTGAATGCTGCATGGGCAGAAGTGACTTGGCCTTGCACTATAAGTACTGAGACACCAGGGTTTTTTTTCCCCAACTAAGCAGATATAACGGAGTGAGACCAGGCTCGGTGCAGATGAGGCTGCATTCTGCACAAAGGCACTGCTTCTCCCCTCCATGCAGCAATGCTCAGGTGCATCAGACCTTCTGTGGCGCCTGTTTAAATCTGGTTTTGCTCTGGTTTACCCTCACTAAACCAACTCAGCCTGATTTGTAAAGGTATTATTGACTTAAATTGTGTCCATACATTGATCTAAACTAGGTTGGAAATTCTTCAGTGGTCCACACTCAGTTTTACTGGCGATACTGGGATTCAGATGCATGTCGGTGTCAATAGAGCTCTTTACAGAAGAGTTGGAAGAAACTGTCTCATAGGTGTGAGAAGTCTCAAACTCCAGCACTGTGGATAAAACTATTTCAGATAAAAATGGGTAATGATGACAGTGGGTTTCTTCGTGTCTTGTGAATGTGCTCAACGTTGCTAAATCTTCCAGTACTGCCTAAGCACTGTGAGATCCTCTTGTTGCACGCTTTCCTAGTCCCTCAATGTGAGGAAACACTGGTCTCCTGATTTAGAGAAACACAAAGTTTTGTTGTGGCTGCTGGGAAAGTTAGCTTGTATGTGAAAGCAATCCAATAACAAATAACTTGACTCTTATAGAGTCAAGTTTTTTCCCTTCCATACCCAAGGAGCTCTTGAGCTGAAGTGATGTTGTAGTCCTGTGGACTGGTACTGTTGGCAGGACTGTCATATCTGGAAAGCACGGCCTTAGAAACAAGTTACTGGAGCTGAAACAACGCTGTCATTTCAGGGAGAAAGCTAGCTGCAGAAGAACACATGGCTTGCTTAATTATTGCACTATATAATAGATTTTTCCAAATAACTTGCTATATTGCTACATGACTTCACATGCTGTAGCTGGGGGAGCAGGACTCCTGCATGTTGGTTCTCCTGCCTCAGGTAGGAGCAAGCTGAAATTCTGGGGATTTTGTGAGGTTTTAGTTCTTGGATTTAGTCAAGTGGGGAGGGAGCAGGCAAGCAGGTACTGCTGAGCAGCACTGCTGAGGGGTGGCTGGTAACTCGTACCTCCGCAACACGTATAAACTTATGTTCATGTGCATGCCTTGGTATCCTCCCCCACCTCAGGCACCAGGTGTGTGCTGGTGTGATCAGCCCTTGCCCTGTAATAAGTCTTCTCTGGTCATGCTTTGTACTTCAGTGGTTCTTGCTAGGTCAGGTACTGCCTGATAGACATGGCAGGAAAGGGATGATGTGTGGAAAGTGTTAATACAGCTCTGTGAGCAATAGGTATCTGATACCTGCTTCTGGCCATCTCTGGAGTAGAAATGATGTTTGAAATGCCCAGAAGCCTTCCTTTTCAAAACAAATTAGTTGGTGAGCTCAACATCTGAGGTACAAAAATACTGAGAACGGAGCACAAAATAGAGGTCACTTTTGCTAATGGTGCATTAACTAGTCACTGTTGTTGACCAGTTCAGGTGGATAAGGAGAGGATTGAAGGTGTAGGACCACTTGAAGGTTCTTCTGTTAGTGTAAAGCCTGGAGTTCATATATCTTCCCCATTGGCTTGTTGAACTGTAACACAAGGAGACTTGTATGCTGTCCAGCCACAGCAGGATTGCTACTGAGGGCTTTGATTTGCTTGTGAAAACCAGTGTTGTCTGTGCTCGTTTGATCCCTTGGGAGGGAAGGACAAGGACAATGATTGTTGCAGATCCAAACTATGGGTTTAGTTGAGAAGATAGCTTGCACTCTATTTTTAATTACTTTAGAAGAGATTTATTCCTAACCTTAGGACCTGCCTTGATCTTTCTCCCTTAGAAAGCTGATTTGAGTAGAAAAAGGACAAGGGGCTGTGGTGGAGGGGAGTTAGGAAATAAATGAAATTCTGTCATCTTACTCATGACCTATATTGTTCTAATTAAGCTGTCTGGTTGCTCTCAGACAAGTGCCTTTGTCAGATTAATTTGTGTAAGCAGGCTGCTTCCAATCTGTGATCAGGAAGTCAAACTCAATAAGAAAATACTTGGTGGTGTGATTTTGTATGCAAGTTATTAAGAACTTAATAGAAAATATAATGTGCTCCTGACTAGTACATCTCCCAGCCAAAGATCTTCAGGGTGCCTGGGTGTGAGAATATACCCTAATTAAAAGGAAAGAAATAGGCTAGGATTATGGAAGAGAGTTGAAGGAGAGATGATTTAAGGACTGTGATAGACACTTGCTAGATGAATAAAAGGGAGCAAGCAGTCTAAGTGACTTTGAACCGGGGGCGGGGCGGAATATCACTATGAGGTAGGAAAACACACTTCCATACTTCTTTCAGTGTCAATAGGCAAAACCTATGTATGGATCTCATCAGTGCTTTTCAGAAGACTTGAGAAGTAGTAGGTGGCTTTAATGGGAACAGGAGATCTGTGGTCCAGGCTGGTGTTAACCTCTTCCTGCAACTGCACCAAGCCTCTTTGCTGCTTTGTCAGAATTTCCTTGCAGGAAAAATGATGGCTACTCAGATCACAGCTCTGTTTAAATATCCCAGGGTGGAGACAGACCTGGTCTTTCATGGCCTCCACAGATGATCTCTGTGTTTATTTCAAACACCTTGTTGCTAGTCTTTGTTATGGGAGTCAAACAGCCATCGCATGCCCAGCAAGGCTGGCTGGATTGCAGCCAAGGATTTCCCTCTGAGCAGTAATCCTGCCTGCTACAGCCTCTGTACATCTTGAGCAAGGAGGTCAGCTTGGTTTCTGTAACACACCTGTACCACAAAGTGGAAGAATAACAGCTGAGAGCAAATAGGGAAAGCCATTCAATCAGAGAGAGAGATCTGCCCAAGGCAAAAGAAGTGGAAATATGTTGGTCTGGCATCTTGCCTTAATGTTTCCAAAAGCACTTTGGGAGATCAGGTGAAATGAAATGAAGTGTAAACTGCTTTCCAGTAATGTAGGTGTTGGGTTTTTTCTAAGAGGATGTTTTGTAGAAGCTTCTGTAGCACTGCAAGTACTAGGTATGTTGCATTCTCTGTCTTTTGATTTCTTGGCTATTAAAAAGCAGATGGGGGAAGAGGAAGAATACACCTTGAAATCTTGAAAGTTATTTCCCATAAAAACATGGGTGTTCAAATTCTACAAAAGAGCTAGCAGAATTGGGCTAACAGTAACTTAAAGTCACTGTTTAAGACTTCAGAAGTGAGCCTTTCACAACCAACACCATTTTATTTCTCGGAGTTGAAATGTGTGTTTATAAACTTTGTGGAGAGAGCATGCCATGTGTCACAATGATATGTATAACAATGTCATCTTCCTTGACAGTTGCACTATAAAGTCCCTTCAGCGACGTCATGTTTGCATCAGCCGCCTGGAGAGGCCTCAGAATTGGGGTGAAAACTCCTGCGAAGTGAGATTTGTGATATTAGTCCTGGCTCCTCCTAAAATGGTGAGTATTGCTCTCTTGTTTGCTTGGGTGCTTCAGAGGATTCTCCCAAGATTGCTTTTCTTTGGTCTCCTTCTAGGGTTAATGACAACGTATTATTTTTAAGACACAAGGAGATGTGAAAAGGCCTGAGATCTTCTCAGCAGTTGTCAAGGTGGTTTATTCTAACAGGAGTAGATTAGTCAGCTGCACCCTCATCTCATACTGGAGAATGGCCACTAGCCTGACTGGGAGGAGAACGCTGCAGATCAAGTGTGTCTGTAGTCCCCATACACTTTTTGCTAGAGCTACCTCTGTGATGCATGTAATACTTGATAGATTCTCCTCCTCCAGCTTTACCAGTTTAGTTACTGTTTTTAGAGGTAAGGAATGCTGTTCCTGGTTAAAGCCATGCTTGTGAAGGGCTCTTGCGAGTCTGCAGCCGATGCCCCACTGCAAAGGTCTGGGTTGCTTCCCAGCAAACTCTCTTGATGGGACTGGCAGTTACACTGCAGTTGTAGATGGACTGATGTAACCAAGAAGTAGATGTAGTTTTGTGAGCTCTATTGCAGTATGGGAGAGACTATTTGGGAGCCTGGGTGCTTTTAAAGTCAGACTGTGCTGAGGTCCTTTGGGATGTGTGTTCACAGCTTTTGGCACTTGAAACAGCCAGGTTAAAGCTTGCTTAAGTGTACTTGCTGGTTCTTTGGTGTAGAAAAGGCCAACAAATGACGTAGTAGTACGCATTTACTGCAGTATCATGGGGGGGCATCAAGGTCAACTGGGGAATCACTATCCTGTCTTAGAAAGCACTGGCTTGATCAAGATGGTGTGTTCTTCTAGCTCATGGTTGAATGGTTCAAAGCTCAAGCCCTTTTCACACTTAAGCTGGCTGTTTACACCTTGGTGCTACTAGGTCTGTGCTTCTAGGAGGTGCTGGAGAGGTTGGGGACCTTGTCTGGAACAGGACATATCCTGATTCAATTTCCTGCTCTTTAATGCTATCCGTGTGACCTTGGGACCTTTTAGTCTGGTCTGCCTGTCTCCTCCTCCCCTCCACCACCACCCTTGTTTAAATGGAAATACTGGTGTTTCCGCATTTCCCAGGATTTCTGGCAGATCTTTCCCAACTGAAGCATTTCAATGCTTTTGGCATAGATCTCAAACCCAACAGGCTGAAAACATATTGATGTTCCTTATGAAAAGCAGCAGGCAAACAACTGAATCCCCTGCGCAACGGCATTGATCTCTTTCATTGTATGTCAGTTTGCTTATCTCTGGCCAGCTATGTGCAAAGCACCTAGCAAACAGCTCTGCATCCGCTTGTATCCTGAAAGTTTGCAATTCCAATGGACAGCATCAAATTAAGGAAAGGGAGTGGAGGCCAAGCAGAGGTGCAGTTGCCAATACGCTTTTTATTTTAAATGAGTTTATCTAGCCAGCTCTAAGTACGCATTTCTGGTACAGCAGTTAAAATAATTAACCTGCTGACAGTAAGAGATTAAATGAGCCTTGCTTGGGGAGGGAAGAAAAAAAAGCCCAGAAAATGGGCATCTGTTGTGCTGAGGAATCCAGATCCTTGGCCTTCTTTAATATGGAGGATGGAAAAAACTTGAGTTTCCTTGCAAATCTCTGCGCTCTTCCTCTAAACCATTCATCTCTCTTTCTGGGAAGGCAAAGAAAGGGAGAAGCATTGGGCAGCTTGAAGTAAGCCCTTGCAGGTCCAGCCCAAGGACTGCTGCTGCTTAGAGGTGAATGAGAAGTGTCCCCTGTGATGGCAAATCCAGGCTGGTTCAGTCTGAAAGGACCAAGCTTACAAACTCTAAAAGCAACTCCTAGAGCAGATCATCTTCACTTAAATCCAAACCCTTCCCTAGAAGCTTAAATTGAACATGTCCTGGCAAGTGTGTCTGAAGGGACATTCCCTGTGATGGAGAGAGGGCAATGGAGGAGAGGTGGAGGCAGGGCAGTGTGAGTGATGGAGCAAGTATAGTTAGTGATGATTTTGGGACTAGTGCAGTGCCACCCACATATCCATGCCTCTGCGTCAAGCAACACTGAATTATTTGGTTGTGTTCATGAAGAAATTCTTCATCTGCTTTGTTATGAATCATGAAAACTAATTCAGATCAATCGCATATGCTCGCTACTACTTTTCACAGTAATGTGAGGAGCTTGGAGGCTGTCCAAAGGAGGGTGGTTGTTTGGGTGTCTCTAGCAGTTGCTGCATGATGAATGTTGAGCGTAGCTAAGGCGGGTGGGTTAAAACTTTGCATCAAAAGGAGCTCTTAATGAGCTATGGTTCTACATAACTTTGCCTTGGCAGGTATCTTATTTGTCCTGACCAAAGTGGTACAAGCAGTTGAGCAGGTCAGGGTTTGTAGGGCTTGAATTTGGTGAGTTTGTGGAGGGATGGGGAGCTCAGTCTCCTTTTGTATCTAATTTCCAAGGTGCTTTGAGCAATAGGAAAGCGGGCTTGGATACTGTTGAAGCTGGACCCTCAAAGAATCAGGCCTGTGGCTCACAGAAATGTTAAAGCCTGCAAATAGGCACTTGTTCCTTTTTCACGTTTGCAAGTCTCCTGTTCCTTCTGAGCATTTAGTGAAGATAGGCAGTGCTGCTTGTGTGCATGCTCAGCTGCTTCTTTCCTATGCTTTCCTCCATGTCAGTAGTTTAGCCGAGAGCTCTAAATCTCCACTTGTGCTGTCAGGATTGCCCCAGAGAGGCCAACCGAATTGAGTTTTAATGCCTAGAAAATAGGAAGCTGATGAAGCAGATGTGTACAATAATCTCAGTTTTCTGGAAGAGACATCAGGACACTACTACCTGCAGGAACCCTGATTACAGCGTCTTCCCACCCCAGTAGCAGTAATGCTGAGATGCTGGAGGACAGCAAAGGCTCTTACTTGTTTAGTCTCATGAGCTTTGAAGGGAGACCCGGGGATAAAATGCATGCTTAGCATGATTCAGCTTTGGATCGAGTCCTGGGACGTTGATCAAGTAAGACTGATCAGTGCTTCTGGTCAGGGCCTGTATGTTGATGCCTTCACAGGATCCTGCTGTGGTTGGTGTGTTCATCTGCAACAGCTTCCACATGTACCCTTCTCCATCAGATGTCTCTGGGGTCCTGGAAGCCAGGCAGCTTGCTCTTCAGATAGTGCCCAATAGGGCAAATCAGGAAATCAGGGGGTTTATCTTTCAGAAGTGAAAGAAAATAGTTTTACAAGGTTTTTTTTCTGTCTTTTTTTTTTCCCCCACTCAGAAAAGTACCAAAACTGCCACAGAAGTGGGCAGGACTTTTGCCACGATGTTTTCAGACATAACCTTTCGGCAGAAACTCCTAGAAACCAAAACCGAGGAGGAGTTCAAGGAAGCCTTAGTCCACCAACGCCACTTGTTGACGGTGGTGAATCAGAGACCCTCAGCAATGAGCGATGGGCACAAGTCGCACAGTCCTAAGCCACTCAAGGTAAGACTGGCCAACATCTGCCATGCCCCCTGCTTCAGGGTGTCCAAATGCATAAATGCAAGGATTTTGGGATAAGGAGATGAAGCACTTGTGCTGCTTGCATCCGTTGGGCTTTCCTAGCAAGCTCTCAGTGCTGAGGTTTCTACAAACGGCTGCTGTGTGTATGTCCACCTTCCTCAGCTCCTGCTGTAAATCTGAAAAAAAAAAAAAAAGAAAACCCCCACACTTCAAAGAGACAGGTGCTGAAGGGATGCAGAGCAGTAGGGGGTTGAAATGATTACAGGACTTTGATTCCAGATGCTTAGTCAAGGGTGGGATTAATGGATCACTGTGCGTTGTCAGTCCAAGGTACTTAATCCTTACAATCAGAAGTCTCTGAAGGAAACTGCTGCTTGTCTTTCCCGCAGCCAAAAGACTTCTTGGCCATCCCTGCGTGGTAATTTCACTTAAAAGTTGCTTGTCAGTATCTGGCCTGACTTCTCACTGTTTGATCTGTAGCTCTGTAAAACGTTACTTGCTTTGTACTTTAAAGTTCGAGGGAAATGCTGTAACTCAGCTTTCTTTTCTGGAATTTCCTGTGTATTGGTCATTGCTTTGCTTTTCCGTTCAGAAATTCATTCTTTAATCAGACAGTGTACCTGAAAAACAAACTGTGCCATCTCTAGCTTGCTGCTTCTGTCCCTGAATTACAAGTAACCTTAAAGCTTTGGGTTGCCTGCAGTGTAGAAGCTGGTTAACTTACCACTTTTTTTTTTCCTGGAATAGACTTAAAGGGTTTTGATCTGCACATCTGGAAATGAGCAAAGCTCATGTTTTTCCTGCAGAATCCCCTTGCTCACAGGTAGTGCTTTGAACTTTGCTAGACCCCATACCTGCTCTTTAAGTTTGCAGAACAAGTCTTGAAACCCTCTTCAAACCTAGGTCATTCAGAGTGCTGGTATTTGGAGTAGTTGCAGTAATGTAATTTAGGGAAAGGACATTTAACCCTTTGCACTTGGTCTTTCAAAGGGGTTTTTGGTAGAGCAGTTAAGTGTGTCTCTGTCTTCTGCTAAAACTAGCCCTTTTTAAATGTCTGTAGAGGATTTTCTTCTCTCTGGCTTGGTGAGCAGGAGGGCTGGATGCAACACTGAGCTTGTAGATGTTGGCCCTGAGATATGGTGGTTCCTACCTGCCTCGCTGGGCAAGCAGCCTTGGCCAGGCAGATTTTCAACGGCTCTGAGCCAGTGCTGTAAATAGTGACGTTTGTTTCTTTAGCACTTGCTCTTGGCATTGACCATTCTTGGTCTGGATTTGGTAAATCATTGTTTTTAAAATGTTTTATCCTTCAGCTCTCATGAGATGCGGCGTATGTAGTAGTAACTCTGCTTTCTCATGTCTCTTGGAAGAAGCTGTCCCCTACCCTGCCTTGCCAGCATAGACCTTAAGAGCTGGGAGGGAGATTTCTTTTCCTGGCAAGCAAAGATTTGTCTGGAGAAGTGAAGTTGATTTGAGATCATAGCCTGCATTCCTCAGTTCCTATGAGAGCCATCTCCAGCAGCATCTCCTCCCCCTCTGTCTGCCCTGTGCAGTAGCCTTCTAGAAAGGAAGCGTTTAATACAAGCACAAACTCATATGAGACCAGGGGTGTAATTTCAACCTGTGAACCACCCCCAGTGAAATAAATACCCTAATCCGAAGCCACTGTATTATTACAAGCGAGCCCTCAGGAGGGGCCAGGAGGGTAAAGTCTCTTGGTAGCATAAAATCTGCCTCCTGCTTCCTTTCTTCCCTTGGTCCTGCGGTGATGGGAGAGAAACGGGCCTCAATTGCTCTGTGTGTGAGTGGGATTTTTGCAAGTGCTTGTTTTTACCTCTGCTAAAATACTGAAGGGAACATGACAGTTGCATACCATGCTGTGCCTACAGCACAGTCAGTTTGCTTTGGCTCATCTCGGAGGATTATTTAGGCAAGGTTACATGCTCAGTCATAATTAAGTCAGCCTGAAATCCTCTTGTTTACTGAGGCATCTAATTGTGATTTTGTTCATGGAGGAGCCCCTAATAGTTGTGATGCTTTCTGGCTGTGATTTCGTGTCTGTTTGATACCTGTGTGGATTTGCTGAGAGGGCTGGGCTATGCTTGCTCGGCATTAGCAGAAGGGAGGATAGTGTGTCCCTGGTCTGTGTAAAATAGTTGTGCAGCCCCCCAGTACTTTAGGGGAGGACTGAGAAAGGGTTGGTGGTGTTGGAGCAGGTATTTTCTGTTTGGCTTTGTAACTGCTGTTAAGTGCTGGCTTAGCCTCTTCCTCTAACCCAAACAATGGTTGCTTGAGGCATTTGTAAAATGAAAAGTGGAAAATCCATGAACTTCATCTAACGTTTTTTTTGTGTATGTGCTCCTTTTGCTGCTCTCTCCTCTCATGTATTTGGAGCAGCATGGGCAAAGCACTGGAAGGACTTGCAGAAGAGGAGAATAAGGAGACTGAAGGAGGATTTGGTGCTGGGTACCTGAGCTGTGGTTCCTAAAGGATAATAAGCCTTGAGCTTGGTGTTGGTGGGGGATACGGCTCTGGACTCCTGGATAAGGCCACCTAGTATCAGGATGTTAAATCAAAAAGACGATAGGGCTATGAGAGAGGTGCCACCACGAGCAGGAGTGGAAAGCCAATGGGTCAGCCAAACTTGACCCATTGACTGAAAGAGGAAGAAGCAGGGGATGGCAGTCCAAGAAATTCCCAGCACTGGAGTGTATGAGGAAGGAAGCAGATCAAAAAGGGCAAGAACGAAGTGTCAGCACTGTCCTTCCAAAGATTTTTGGAAACCTCACAAGGTGCAAGCTCAGAAGATGGCAGGAGGCAAAAGCCAGACTGAAACATTTCTGGAGTAGAGTTAGACAATGAAGATGCCCGGTAGGATAGGTTGGGGGATAAAAGTAAAACCAAAAAGGGCAGTAACTTGAGAGGTCAGTAAACTTGGTCTTTTATCTCCTCAGTGCAACCCAAGTTGAGTATGAGGTTAGTAGAGCAGAGGAAGAGGATTAGCCATACAGAAGAAACAGCTTTCCCCATACTTAGCCACTGATGAGGTTTAGCTTGACATCCCCATGCCCCACCCTAGGCTAAACTTGCACATGTGCAAGAAATAAATGCATGAAGGAATTGGGGGTCTCAAACACAACCCATTGGCTCCCCCTTCTCTCAAATTTGCTTCAATGTGCGTTGCGGGACAAGAAGTTAGGGAGTGCTTTTCTCTTCTGCACACTCACTGCTGCCTATGAACAGGCCATGTGCACGAGTGCCCCTTCCCTCCCCACCCCACGCTCAGCCCCAGGCCAGCAGCAAGCACGTGGTTTCTTCCCCGGAAGATGAGATACCCCGAGCATCGTTTTCCCTGTACTCGCTGCAGCGAGACAAGTAAACATATTAGTCATTAAAGCTATTGTGATTCTCTGGCTGACTCGTGCCTTCAGGAATGTCTTTCTGGGGGGGAAAAACTAAATTGCTTTTCAAGTGCATATGGCTTTGATGTCCAAATATGCCTCCAAATATGGTTTAAGCTCATAACTTTTTCGGAAATGCTTAAAATGCAGATGTTATGCTGGTGTCTGCTGTCTTTTCATCCTGATTGTTCAGGTTAGAGAGTTGAAACCGTCCTAAAGTAATACAGGTGTATTGGCAAAATGCAACAGAATTGACTTAAGTAGCTGAAATATGAGATGATGTAGTCACTGATAAAGGAGCTGGTCCTCTGAGGTACCTTTTGTACCCTAAACCCTAGTGTTTGCTGTGCCCAGTGTATTCCTTCTAAAAGTCAGGGTTTCCTTGTGTTTTACTTATGGCTCTGATCGTCCAGGTGCTGCAAAGCAGGTAAGTCCCATGAGAAAAGGCAGAGTTGTGTGTAGTCCGTTAAACGAGCACTGTAGTGTCAAGTCCTTTCTAAAGCAGTAGTTTTTATCAGTTTCCACACAAACCAGTGAGAGGAAGATGTCCATGCTCTTTTGAAATGATCTGTTGGAGTAAATTTTGGATCTGTGATTTTTTTCCTCCCAAAACTCCCTAGCAGAGGTTATAAGTCTTCTGTGTCTAACTCTGCAACAAACATCTGAAATGTTTTAGATGGGACAGCTGGGGTAATTAGCACTGTATAAAGGTGCATTTGATTTTCAGAGTAGTATGTGTACTCTGAGTTGAGGATAATGGGGAAAAAAAATCTGACAGGTGCCTCATTTGCAAGTGTTGCCTACTCTGACGCTTTCCATGTGCTTTCCGTAAGGATGTAGTTGTGAGAATTGGGAGGCTGTAAGTCAATAGCAGCTGTCACATATTTCTGAAAAGCTCCTTATTGCCTCTGGTGAGCATCAGATTGTATAAACAATCGTACTGCACCTTGCAGGCCCCCAAACCAGAAATAAAAGGGAATATGCTGGGGTTTTGGAACCCTTTCACAATGATCTTACTGTCTTTTAATGGGCAGAAATTATGGCTTGGTTATGTGAAGTTATTCAAGCCTTGTTCCTTTTTGCTGAAGTTTGAGGTGTAGACAGTCTTTGTTCCCTTACTACATCTGTTTTTGAGGTCTCCCTTTCCCATGGCAATGCTGAGGAAGAGAATACTTGCTGGGGATCCCCTTTCAGAGGCTTCACGTGGATTTGGAGGAAGAGTTTTTTGTGGTGGCATCTGAAGAAAAAGAAGTTGGCTAGAGGGATGGGAAAGGTGTCTCTGACCTGATGTTTAACCCCAGGGTACCCAAGGTCTAATCCTGCTGTGGGCCAGGGTGTTTTCAGCGAGTCACACTGTGCATCAGCTCCCTCACCTGCAAAGCAGGGATGCGGATATGAATGGGAGGGGGGAAAAGGGAAGGAAGGGAGGAAAAGCAGGGTGGTCTGGGGGATTTTCTCTTTTACAATGCTTTTGAGGATATAAATTGAAGTGCAAAGAGTTTATTTTTATTATCATTACAAAATCTGATTTGAATGTCCCATTCAAAATGACCAGTTTTGCTCCTATCAGTATTGAATAAGGAGGTTAATCTCTTTAACAATACATGAGCCTTTAAACTGACACAGCACTTCCTTCCTTTCTTTAGTTGCATGAGTTTCTCAATGTTGGCAAGGGGATTTCTGATGACATTGCACGAAGATTTCCAGTGTACGCTTTGGACTTCACTGACGGTATGTTGGCCAATGTTTATGAAAGCATTGGCCTGATTCTGAATTTTTGTGATGCGATGTCCTGTTTACAGTGTGCATTGAATGTGTTCTTTGATACGCGTAACAACTCTCTTATTTCTTATTTAAAAGAATATTTTGACAACAGCCTGTGAATAGGCAGTGTGGCACACTATAGATGAGAATCTTGCAGTGTTCCCTTAATGAAGATGCTAGCTGTATGCAGATGAGGATTTTAATTTTTATTAAGCAATGAGGTGATTAAATGGATTGATTATTGTCGTGCGTAGACACAGATCAACTCATCGCAACCTAATTAGTCAGCACTGGCCTAATAGGTCCTTTCTGCTGTCTTTGCAAGCTAGCATCAATAGCAATTATGGGGATGCTGTGGGAGTTGAGAATGCTTAAACAAAATCTGAGCTGCAGTAACTTCAGCTCGGTGCTTTTAAAAACAGGATATAGCTTGTCTGCTGTAGCCAGATCACACAAGCAGCAATACAGTGTTTATATAGAGCCTCAGGTTTCGGGCTTTATATGGCTCCCCCAATGGCCTTGTTGGTTTTAAGAGTCACTTTCTCCCTGTTCACTTTCCAACTTTCACTTTCAGAGATTCTTAAAGGCTGTGAAAAGTCTTCAGGGCAAACTATGATTACAGAGCCTCAGCCTGACATCAAAACATGTTCAGTTTTTTACAGCTTATTGGGGAGCTGGTTAATATATTGAAGTATCAAACCCAGAAAGTTTGCACAGAATGAGGATGCAGATCATAGGCAGAGGGAATCTCGGGACTCTATCAGACACCTTCCTGCTGTTAAATCCTCCTTAGCTCAAACCACAGTGTCCCAGCCTTCCCCACTGCACCTCTGCTGAGGGCTATCTCCCTTGGAGTTGGCATAAGAAAATAAGATGCATACCCGAGCCCCATTTTTGCAGACAAGTATTCTAGTGCAAAATTGCCTTCCATAGCAGCTTAAGCTTGAAAGCAAGCATGGGTGGGGTATGAATGTGTCCTCCACTACATTTCAACAAGGATGGTCACCGCCAGGAGAGGAACATAGCAATCAGCTGTTGGCTGCTTGACTGAAGGAGATGCCATGTGTCTGGGGGAGTTGCCAAGTAGTTGCTTCCCACAAAGATCCAGTTTTGTCGACTAGGAATGTTTCATCCACCATGATGTGTTTTGCAGTTAGTGGTATCCACTCTGCTGGGAAGAACAAAATGGGAGGAGATGCTAGTTTAGCACAGTGGTTGAGTGCTGGATGCTTTCTCCAGGTGCTTTGTAACTGCTGGGATAAAACTATTTTCAGGAGGCTTGGGGTGAAAGGAGGGCAGGCTGTTTGTAGTCAAGCTAATGCTATGTTCTCTGGGGAGTGAGGGTATGTTGAGCAGGGAAGGGGACAAGAAATTATTTTCAGGGTAGCAGCAAGGAGTCTGATAAAACAGACTCTTGGCATGTGCATCACTGGCACCAGATCTGGCAGGGGATTTAAGCTCCTAATCTGGACATTCCTGGAGTGGGTTCAGGACACTTCATGCCTATGGCTGTTGCTTCGCAGGGCTGTCAAAGTCTAACTTTTCATCGTAAAGGGATATTGAAGCACTTCAGAAGGGAAGTGCTGCAGAAGCACCTTGTGGGGACCCACGTGCATCTCAAGACAGAGCAGTGTGTGCTATGGCTGTCAGCATCCTGAGCACAGCAGGTTCACAGGCATAAAAGCATCATACGATGGTCCTGCAGCCAACTTTGGCTGTCGGCAGATTTGGAAATCCATTTCAATGTCCGTGTTCTGGCTCTGCATGCATCCAAATTAACCTGTGCGTGCTGCCTCTCAGCCCTGGGGCTGCCAGCTACAGTCAGGTCTGCAAGCTTTCCGTGAACCGATGTACATAGCAGATCAGGCTTAGCCTAAACAAGGTGCTGGGACTGACTAGCTTGAAAGAATTGTTCCCTTGGTTGCATCTGCCCTGAGTGATGAAATACTGTCCTAGCGAGAATCCAACATTACAAATATTCCAGAAAAATGGTTTTGGTATAAAATGCAAATATATGTTAAAAAGTGTCAGTGAATTGTTATACAATTTCTGGAGAGTGGAAGGCGCAGAAATGAGCCAAGTGAAACTCGAGACCTACTGCAGCTCAAATGTGAAGTGCTCACCTTAGGAGCAGTTGTGCTCTTTCAAATAGGAAATGGGGAAAAGAGGATTTTTAAAAAACCTGTATGTATTAGTATGTGCCATTTCTTTCCAGAAACCAGAAATTAGAATGAATTCTTTAAGGATCTGCATGGAATGAAAACCAGATGGAGCATAAAGCATCTGCCATAAACCACCAACACCAAAGGTGATCAGGAATGTGAAATTCCTGGACCATCTCAAAGCAGCAGTGTACCAGAATATTGGGGATTTGAGCTATCCAAGTATCTGCACTCCAGACAACCACACGTGCATCATCAAAGAGCTCTGAATTACAAAGATGCCTTTTTTTGAATGGTTGGAGTCTCTAAGTCCTCAATCTGAGAAGCATCCTGGGGTTTTGGTTTAGACAGATAACCCAATTCAGGGCAGGGTGATAAATAATAAGGCTTTTGTAGGGCCAGCAAATGTTTTGTCAGTTGGACTTTTGTAGGATTGGTCTTCACACACTGTACAAAGCTGGCCATTAAATTATTCTTAACCATCATGATTTGGGAGAGGAAAGAAAAGAATCATCTTTCTCTCTTTCTTTTTTTCCTCCAGATTAGGAATTTGTCAACTTTAGGTCTTCTTTGGATTGTAGACGTCTTTGCTGAACACTCAAGGATCAAGGAAGAGGTTTCTAAACTTTTGGTCCAGGACTTCAGCAATGGGGATGGCTTGTAATAGGCGTTTTCCAGCAGAATAATCTGAAGATGAACAATTAGATTATGCTGAGCCTAAGAACACTTGTAATTTTCCTTTGAAGTTAGGATTAACGCAATTTGGCATTTAGTCTCCTCTTAATGACTACAACCTTTGTTTATGTGATTGTGCTTTCTTAAAAGAAGTTGTACAAATTTCATCCTGATCTTGTCAAATAGGCTCAAAACACATGTGTATCAATATTATTACTCTTTAAGACTCAGTGGAACCATAGGACCTTCCTGAATTTTTTTTTTTATTTTGAGGCTGGTTTGAATGAAGGAGGGAATTCTGCCTGGGCTCAGCTACAGATTTCCTGAAACCCCTTAAAGTTGCTACCTGTATTCTTCAGTGTGTATTTTCTGGTACAACGTGGAGGAATAAACACTTGCAAGTGCCTGGGGGAAAATTTGAGGTGCCTGAGGTTTTTATGGTGAGCTTCCATGCTGTATTCCTTCACCTCTTGAGGAGGGAGGGTGAAGGGAAGAGAGGAGAGCTGAGATTTATTCTGTTTCCCTCTGTTTTCCTTGACCTGTGTCCTCGGCAAACTGCTGTAGTGGGTGGATAGTTCAGCTGGAGGTGTGGATTCCTCCCTGTCCTTGGTCCTGCAGAGGGTCCCTAACCAGCTCCTGAGAGTAAGGCGAGCACATCTGCTGGTGGTGTTTTGCAGGAGGGAGATCTCCAAAGCTCCCTGTAATGTAGGCGTGCTTAGAAGGAAGGCTTGAAGGCACTGGAAAAATGGAATTTGAAAGGGAAGTTTTGTCTTGCTGGTTGTCTAAGATAGCACAGAGCTTAAACCTGCTGAAATGTTGACTGTGGATTGGCTGTGGCGTGTGCCAAATCATCATTGACTCTCCCTCCTGATTGCATTGGCAACCTTGTTCGGCAGGATTGCATTCTTGAGGGAGGAGGAAAAATAAAGGGATTGCAGATAGGCTTTTTCCCTTCTCTTCAGTGCTTCTGCCCTAGGTTAGTTGATGGGGTAGCTCCTGCATCATTCTGCAGCCCTTCATTCCTAAATATCACCTTGGTGTAAAAGTTCAACGGCCACTTGAAGACTGACTTGTTGGATGCTTTGGGGTGTCGTGACCTGGGTTCACAGCTATGGTGCTTTTGACATCTCTCTGTGTCAGTGGTGGATGGGAATGCATTCAAGATGCATAAAGGCATCGTGTTTTGTCTGTGGATGTTTCCTTCCAAGAGACTAGCACTTCATGGGAAATGGGCTGAAAGAAACAAGAGAAGAGGGAAAGCTCTGAGCCCTTGATTTGTTTCTTCATACTTCTCTAGTCTGAGCATATGCTTGGCTTCTCTGCTCCAAAATCAGTAAGAGTGAATTTCCTTTTCCAGCTAAGTTCTTAGTCTCACTTGTACTGTGTTTTACTCTTCACAGAACTTAGGGAAGATTCATCTTCTGTTCATCTTCAGAAAATTGGGCAGAGTCCAGCAGCTATTAACATAAGTGAAAGCCCAGCTTGAGGGCATTAGCAGAAGTTTATAATGCTTTGAGTTTTTATGGCTCAAAAGCTATGAACAGATATCCTTACTGTGTGTTTTTTACCATTGAAAGGTGATTTTTTTTTTCTTTTTTTTAAATCAGAGCTTTAATAGACATCCTTGCTGTTGTGCTGCAGATCAGTATGATTAAACTTGTTTTGTGTTGGATATTTCAGAGCATTGGGAAGGAACATTAATAGTCAGACATTTCATAGAATGTCCATCTGTCTCGATTTGGATTCAGAAAATGTACAATTAGTAGACTTAATCCCAGTCTCTGGATCTCTTTGTCATTGATGCAGAATACCAAGCAAAGTGAGGCTAGCAATGCTGCAGTTTTCTCTGAAACTCTAACCTTGTCTTTAAAAACTACGGCATTTCAGAAATTCAAGCAAGTAAAATAGAACTGTCATGTTGATGAACATAATTGCTTCTCATGTCAGTGTGTGGATGTACCTTAATTTCAAGGGATTGCTTCTGTAATAGTCAGCTACTCAAATTTCACAGCTGGTCTAAGAGCTGATTTTTCTGCTACAAATTTACGTTGTGCAGTTGGAGTGACACATTTTTCAATGGCTTTATGAGCCTGCCGCAGATGAAATGCCATCATAATGCAGCCCACCTTCTTTTAAATGAAGTAATGTCAGTCCTTGGGTTGCAAATAGACCCTGAAAATGTGTAGCCAGATGTTGACTTTAAAAAGGCAAAAGGTAAATGGTGGTTAACGCTGGATTTTAGTGCTTGTCTCGGGTGAATCTGTACAAGGAGGCAGTATTTGCTTATGATTTTAACTGCAATTAAAGAGTGATTAATCATGTTTGTGAAAGGGTATGCTTGATCTGATGTAATTATTTTCTCCATTATGAATTGAATTTTGCTGCCCACCAGTAGGGATTCTTTGCTCCTTGGATCTCATGTGGCTGATTATAGACTAAAGGAAGTACTGCTTTGTACTGGAAGTCTTGGACCCAGCCATGGTATGGCATAACGACTTCCATGATCAGCAAGGACTTGTGCTGCTTGTTTTGCAAGGATTGAAGCTGAAACTAAATGCCATGCATGAGCTTTTGTGATGCTCTTCAAGGCTTCTTCCTTCTTTCTGCCCTCTCATGCTACGGTTTATCTACCTGAATTTTTTTTAGAAAGCACCTCATCACTTATGTAACTTTCTCTGCTCAGCAAATGAGCTTTTTTTTTTTAATATTAGTTGCTTCTCTGGTCCTGGTTGCCTGTCTTTTTTATGAATTATTCCAAAGCTTTCAGGCATTGTTGCCTCTGACCTTTCATGTTGGAAAAACTCCTTTGTCCAAAAAGCGGTATTGTGGAGCGGCACAGAGTCCTCTGAACAAGAATGTGACCATCTCTGTAAGACTAACACTTGGTCCACTGTTTGCCCTGCTAAGTCTTTCATTTTCTCTAAAGGTCTCAGGCACGTGGGAATGTGAGGTAGGAACCTGCAGCTGGACTTGAGATCACATGAGAAAGCTTCATCTGTAAGAAGTAAATTTCAGGCCCTTTGGTTGCCAAGAGTGGTCAGGAATGTGGTCTGTGGTTTCTGAAACTTCACAATAAATTGAAAGGAATCTGCCCTGAAACAGCTGGTGCAATGACTCCTGGGAGGTCAGGCTCATATTTGCATGCTTGCGATGTCTACTGTCAAGTTTCAGCCCCTGCCTTTTTAAAATTTATTTTCAAGGATGCTGAGCATCAGAAGTCCTATTTTGTCTGTTCGTCTGTGTCTGTGAACAGGAACTATCATGAGATGTCCTTTATTCATGCAGCTGCCTGTTCATTACGCTCCATCTTTGATTTTTGGTTTTTGCATCCTCCTCCTGTCCTTATCTCTGCACTGCAAATGGTGCAGAAAACAGATGTTAGGTAAGATCCCAAAGTCATTGAGCGATTGCTTTTCATTTCAGTGATACAGTTAGGCTGTTGTGGCAATGTCCAGATTTTCTCAAGTGTTGCACCAGCAGCCTCAAATGCAAACCCCTCCCTTCTCTGATTCAACTCGTTGGCTTGTACCTCCTTCGGCAAGGGACTGATGCTAGCAAAGGCTTAGGTGGGCATTTGGGAGCTTAGGGGTAGATGCCTGTGTTGGGAGCTCACTGCTCAGGAGGTTTCCAGAAAGGGGAATTGGGCAGCTCCATGTTTGTCCAAGTGTCTCACAGCAGGAGCATCAACAGGCAGGTTGAAGGCTGTTTCAAGGTTTTCTTTGAAAAGGCCCTCTGGTGTATCCTCTCTGAAGAGGCTGTTCTGTGGAAAAACTTATGTTCTCCTCGAGCAATATCAGCTGTTGTCATCTCTCATACTTTCTCTTATGTGATATGAGCTCACTGGGGATGAACATCAGCCTGAAAACAGGAAAGGGAAGGGAAGCTACTTCAGAGGCCCTTAAATTCATATTATGACACTTTAATTCTCTTTCTGGCTGCTTTTGTTTTGGCCTGGTGTGTTTTTTCTGATGGAGATGAGAGGGGGTGAGTGGATGGAAAAGAAAGAAGCCATTCTTTCAGAAGGGCTTTTTTTTAAAGCAAAACTCTTAATGTACGCATTCCTGACCTCTTGTGCTATTTGTTTTTGTAAGTCTGCTAGCACTAATTGGCTCCGCGTAGCATATTATTGATTCAAGCCTATAACCTCAGATTTCTGCCTAGGGAAAAAATGAAGTGCTTCATGTTTTCCTGCCCAAAGCATCATGAGTTGCGAAGACGAGTGATCATTGTGAAGCTCATTAGGGGCATAGCCCAGAATACCTATAAAGCTTGTATTAAAAAGGCAGGGGGTGGGGGGCTGTAAACCCAAAACTTATGGCTTCTGCTTTGATCTTCTTCCAAGCTTTTGGGGCTGGCAAAACTGAACAAAAGGCTTCCAGTATTTCCTGTTTTGATGATGCCAGAAATGTCTGTTGAAGCAGTCTGGTGGCATGTTGGTGCTTCTACTTCTGGTCCCAGATGAACAAGAGAGTATGATTGTACAAAAGCAAATGTTAAAGACCTACCTATATGTTTAAGACTAAAGTGTGGATTGAATTTCTTCTGCCTTTCAGCATTAAAAGAACTAACGGTACATATGGCTGATGCAAGTAGGGTTTCAATGCTTTGCAATTGGGCAGTAATAACATGACTTTTGTTATGGTTTACACTAGGTGTTATTGGAAACAACAAAGCTATAGGAAAATACATCACGACAATGATCTTTCTGTATTTTGCCTGCCTCCTTCCATCCATTGCATTTGGGTCACTCAATGATGAAAATACCCGAGGAGCTATTGGTAAGTTTATCAGTTTTGTGCATCTGTTACAGGATCTCATGTATTCACACTGGGTAGCTCTGGTCACAGAGAGTTTTGATAGTTTTTATTTGCTGGAGGGGAAAAAAAAAAAAAAAATCACTGAAGTTTTTTCTAACTGGTTATGTTCATGACTTTTTCCTCAAAGACTAAAAAGTTGAACGCTACTTCGGGTAGTACCATCTGACTTGACTGATATAGATATATGCTACTGTATTTTTAAATGATGCTCACTTGATAACTGTAGTTATCTGCACGTTTTTCCTAGTACAAGCTCCTGTGCTTTTGATCTGAATTTGATTGCCGGTATCCAAACCACTGGTATAGCAGATGATGTTTTGCTCTATCCCAGTTGTGGCCCTGAAGCAGTTTATACTGCTATTACAGCTCCTAGGAGCTGTAATCCTAGCTGATTTAGTTGAAATCTTGTCCTGAAAGCCTCCACAAACACTGATTATGTTTTTATAGCTGTTTAAAATAAAATAAAAAACCAAACAAAAAAAAAAACCCAAAACAACGACAAACCCCAAACCAAAAACCCCCACCCAACTTTCATAGTGCAACATCTGGAAACCTGATGGCATCCTAAATTATTGGTGTAAGTTTTTTGGCAAAGGGTCACTTCTTGCTTTCACAGTGTCTCACCTCTATACCCTCTAAACATTACTCTTACTCGTTAGTGGTTGGTTTCTATGCCCTGTGAATGCTCCTTGGGGTCAGGGAGGTGTTGGTTAAAAACCCTGTTTGTTTCCATCCTTCCTAATTACTTGTAGATGTGCAGAAGACAATTGTCGGCCAGTGTATTGGAGGGCTGCTTTACGCGCTCTTTTCGGGGCAACCTCTAGTTGTACTCCTAACTACGGCTCCTTTAGCACTCTACATTAATGGTAAGTCTATTAAACTTATATGTCAGGGGACTGATGTGATTGTGATCGGTGGAATGTGTTTTTGTACAAGAACCTTGCAATCCTGGTAGAGCTTTAGTTGCATTTGTTTAATAAATCGATACTAAAGGGCTGCTTCTGGTGCTGAGGGAGAGGGGAGGAATTTGATTCAGGTTTAGTTAAAGTTGGTTTCTAAAGGAATCATTTTGCATAGGAAAAACGTTTTGTGAGAATAAACATTTTTTCTGCTTCAAGGAAGAAATCTTTTTCATCTGATGGTTTTCTCATGTGACTGTATTTAGCTGATGAGGATAAGAGCCTGAGACAAAGTTTGGGTTTTTTGATTGGTCTTTTAAGATGTGATCAATAGCTTTCCAGTTATGGCTGCAAGCTGGTATTACTGAGGAGCAAACCCAAAATCTATAGGAACAATCAGATGGGCTATGACTAGCTTGACAGGTTTAAGACATGAGGTTTTGTCCACAATGCAGTGACTGAGTAAATATGGTAGAGAAGCATGTATGAGATCCCTTGCTCAACAGCATCCCAAAATGTCAGCGAGAGCAAATTCCAAGGGCTGATTTTGTGGCCTTGATCCCTAGGAAAGATGCTTTTGAGCAGTGTGGGAGAATATTTTTCCAAGTGCTTCTCCCCATTTCTAGTGTAAGAAGTGGGTGGGGAAGGGGAGAACAGTTTGGGTTGATCTAGTGTTCAGCCGGGAGTGTAAGAACAGGGGTTTAATGGTATCTGCCTAAGTGCGTTTGAGTGAAGTCTTGAAATTGGTTCTTTTTGCCATCAAGCAGATGGGAATCACAAGGTGGTAAGGGCAACCGTTTAATCTGACACATGAATGCTTCATTTTTATAGTCATCCGAGGAATCTGTGATGACTACAACTTGGATTTCAGTGCTTTCTATGCCTGGATTGGACTGTGGAACAGCTTTTTCCTTGTGATGTACTCCCTCTTTAACTTCAGTCTTCTGATGAAGCTCTTTAAAAGGTAGCTATTTTCAAGAAGTCATATTTTGATCAGATTATTCAGCAAATGGAAAAATTATACATTTCACAAGCTCGTTAATTACAAACTTGCTGCCAAATGTATTTTGCGAGATGAGGCTAGTATCATTTCAACTTATTGTTCCAGCTTGAAAGAAGCTTTTAAAGATTCACTGGGTTTTGTTTCTTGAGTTGGAGTCTAACTAAAATTGGTATATTTTCATGTAAATGCATGAATACGCTGATTTTCCTTTGAATGGAGTTGAATGCAGACTCTGCTAATGGCTGTATTAATTCCTGGGATTTTTCCACAGGTCAACAGAAGAAATAATTGCACTTTTTATATCCATCACGTTTGTGCTTGATGCCTTCAAAGGCATTATTAAAGGTAAGTCTTGCAACAATGTTCTTCACTGCAGATCTCTGCTTTGCTTCCTTGTCAAAGGGAAATACGAGGCTGTAAATATGCATGATGTTTGCTTGTTCTGTGTTCATTCAGGGTCTTCAGGAAAAAAATTGTGTGTGAGATTGAAGCAGCCCTGTGTCAGTGGTTTACCTGGATATGCAGAATTTCCATCAGCTCAAATTTCAGTTAGCTGAGATAGAATTAGTGTCTTAACTTAACAAATGGAGAAAGCATATTACTGTTGCTGTGAAAGTCTTCCCCTGCTACCAATCTCTTTGCTCCTGGCAAAAAAAAACCCCTCCAATTTAAATGCAGTGCATCTAGACCTCTTTCCTTGCCACATCATTAAAACTACATGGAGGGGAGCTGAAAGATGAGTTGAGATTGCCCATTCTTATGTGAGCTCTGAGGCCCTTCTTTAATGGCAGCATAAGGACTGTAGTGCCTTCCAGCATGCTCTTAAAGCTGTTCTGCCCTTTCCAGCCACTTGGTCCCTATTTCTGAGTTAAGCTCTAGGTGAGTATCCATGAGCAGCCTCGAGGTTTAACAAATTTCTCTGGCACCTCTCTTCCTCCTGATCAGGATTGGCAGGAGGTGTTTGTGAAGGTGAAAGATGTCAGCAGAAATGCCGTGTGAATGGCAACCTTTCTGTTCATCCCAGTGAGGAGTTGGCCAAGTCTGCATTCCTTGTTTTTTATGACCTATTGTCCAACAGCCCCAAGTTTGGGCTATCCTTTGAAATCCTTCAGGACATATCTAGGCACACTGAGCACACTCCTTGGTTTTTTTTTTAAAGATTCTCAGGTCTCATTATGGTATCTTGCATGCAAGGAGAACACCTTCAAAGAGCAGGCTTGACACTGCAAAGCAATTTGAAGTGAGATACTTCCCCGCTTCATTGGGAATCCTTAATTTGGCTCTTTGGGCATATGCTTTGTGCAATCAGAGGGTTTTTTTTTTCCTCTGCAGAACACCTGCATCTTTCAAATCTCCTGCTTAGACAAAGCTTGGTGAAGGAGAAGCTGTTCTGGGATACTTTGCTTTCTCCTTGCTCGCTATGTAGCTGTGAGCTTTGCTTAACGTGTGCTTTTAGTGCCCTGTTCTGGAGGCATGAGACAGTCTCCCTGTGGCACTAAGGTGTTCCTCCACAGAATATTCAACGGCTCTGTAAAAATTAGCAAATGCAAATGTTCACAGTGCTTCTGTAGTAGAGAGCTGATTTCCCATAGCAGGGGAACGAGGTGCAGGTTAAAGGTGCAGAAAGCATCCATTGAGCTCGGCTGCCAGACTTTCAGGAATATGCAAGTAATACCTCAGAGTATTGCAGTGGGGACAGGAGAGGATCCTGGAAGGTAACTAGTGAATTAGTGTAATTCTCCCTTGTACTTGGGAGGGGCTGAGTTTATAGGAACAATGGTAATAAAATGAAACCAACATTCCAGTCATTTGCCAGCTCCTGTTGGCTTGAGCTGCGTCTGGGGAGTGTTCAGTGCATCAACAGATGGGACCCCAGGTCCCACCATCTTCCCAGATGCAGAAGGGCACCGATGCTGGCAGTCACAGACTTTGTCCTTAACCATCTCAGTGCTCATATTTAAACCCATGGCAGCAGTGCAGCTCACAGCCACATGCTCGTCTTTCTTCTTCCACTCCTGTTTTGTAGCAGGAGGTGATGGTGGCTGCTGCCACCTCCCCCTTCCACTCAAAACTTCGGTTGAGCAGTAAGTGGGAAGAGAAAGCTGGTACCTTCTCCATGCTGTTAAATGTGTCCTGGTAATGGCTAGCCAGCTGACAGTGACTTTGGGTTTCCTGTGTGCCAGGGGACTTGGTGCTCTTGCTCAGATATGTTTTCTTCAGTCTGTGCATAGCCTTTGATTCTTTTTTCTTTTTTTTTTTTGCAAGGTACTCGTAAATACGCAGGAAAGAAGGGGGGAGGGATGTGATAGTGTACGGAGGAATCAAGCCATGTGCGTTCATGCTATCCTGGTGACACTTTGTTTTTGCCTTGTGGCCCAGCCACCGAAGCTGTGTTTGTTTGATCTTGACATCTGCACTCTGCAGGAAACAGCGGTGAACTGGCTGAAGCAAACAAAGCGAGTTAATGTTGTTGGAGGGAACTTGAGCACGCAGTAGGCTTGAGAATGGCTCTGTTTCAGCGAGGGCACCACCTGCTTTGCTGCTGTCTCTGAATGTGGGCGACAAGATTCACTTAGCTCTGTTATAAAAACAAACTGTAAACCTGCAGGAATCAAATACTTTGTCCTGCACCACTGACTTGACTTGCTATAAAGGCTTTCACTAACCATCTTGGCACATTCTTGTTGCTTTAACTAAAATACAGGAGTAAAGTCAAAGTTTCTTCCCCTATATCCAGGATTGAGTGGAGCAATCCTACCTGGTTTTGAGGTGGCTGCAAACTGAATCGCAGCCTGAGAGGTAGTGTACAATAGATGTAGTCAGGCTGAACGCAGTGCACCAAAGATGTGCTCAGCCCTAAATGTATTATTGCTATATAGCCAAGTGTGGGAAATAGAAAAAATCCACAAGACCCCCAAAAAACTAACTTGTTTCTTATTCATTTGAGTCCCAATCTAAATACGGAGGCATGCAAATACATTCTGCATAGTTGCCGAGTTGTATGTGCTGTCAGTTTATCATACGCTCGGTAATTGTGTGTGTCTCTAGGACTTAGTAACGCTTAGGGCCAGCTGAGATGGTGAACAGGCTTTTAGCCCTGGCCAGCTGCTAATCCCCAGGAAATATTGCCATAATCATTTTTGTTATGATGAAAGTGTCCTTTAATGTTCAGAGCCGGAAACTGCAAATCCTCCAACAACCTGTTCTGTGCTGGTGTGCGGGTCACGTCAGTGCCCTGTGCCTCAGTTTACCTGTTTGCAAAGCAAGTGTGGGTGTCCTGCCTGGGCTGGACGCAGCTGTGAGGATGGAGGGAGGAAATGATAGCAGAGCCTCTTCCGTAGCACGCAATGCAGAAATGCGCAGTGCTAATGGAGGTTGTAATGAGATTGCCCCTTACTGGGGGAAGCTTTCTTGTGCTTTAAAAGTGCAATAATCTCCTCATTTCTGGCTGCTGCTGAGAGCATGTTGAAAGGTTCAATCTTGACCTGTAAACCTTCTATGATCTTTAAATTTATATACAGAAGTATTGAATGTGGAGTAACCGGTCTTTTCTCTTGTGACCTTCATGCGCTATTGATCCTATCCATTTGCCGAATGCCTGGACTCCTTTTAAAACATAAAGGTGGTACTAGAAGGGTTATTACCACTGTTAAAATGTCAGCATAGCTAAACATGGGGCTTTTTACATTGGGGTGAGCTCCAAACCACCACAAACTGTGTTTCGGCCAAATTCAAGGTGGTTGCATATACCAGTTGTGCTTTGCAAGAATGTTTACAGTTTGTTTTGCTTGTTTTCGAATGCTTAGAATTACGGTTTGTTTTGCCTGTTTTCCCTGTAGCTGCTGCAGATGGAAAAGCTGAGGTGCTTGGGGTTTTCAGCAACTAGATTATTATTTGGGGGTGGGGGGAAATGTTGTGAGGAGCATTATAGCCTAAGCTTCAGATTGTTGTATTTTTGCCTAAAGAGGATGGTTTTGCCCTAAACTTTTGAGTTTCCTTATGCAAAGGCCGAAGGGATATTTTGACTAAAGCAAAAAAAAAGGTAGAGGGGACTGCAAAGCTCTGACATGGTGGTTTCCATCTTCCTGGCTCTTCCCATTGGTTTGGGGGCGAGCGGGCGCTACCTGCTGCCACCCGATCACATAACACGGGAGTAGCATGGCTGCAAAGCCCAACTCCCATCTTCTGGTTTTACATGCTTCTTGTGGCACCTCAGGCTCTTGTTCCCAAAAGAGGTGAAATCATCCCAACACCATGTTTATGTGCTTGAAGCCAGCCAATGCCATAGAAACGGGAACACAGCTGTCTAAATGCTCAAGAGCAAAAGTGTATTTAGAACTGTTAATAACTTATATAAATAATAATTACTTGTATAAATGCCTCTGAGCTAACCTAATACGTTTATGGACAGTTCCAGAGGCATTACTGGGTGTTTCACTTGAACAGATTTGGTTCAGGTGCTCTGTAACTCTATTTCAATTTGCAGTGTAAATTTAAATGTTCTGCCAGGTTTTGCGTACCATCAACATTTATCTTTAAAATCTGGACCAGCCTTGAAGCAAAAGTAATTATTACATTTTGTAGTCCACATACGGATCTGTGCAGCCTGGCTGCTCTTAATTTTTTCAGAGATCCTGATGGAATTTGTTTACCATGCTGCTGAAAGGAGGTGTCTTTATACATACATACATACATATATATAAAAAAGTATGGTTTTTTTTTAAAAAAAAAAGCAGTGATTCCAGTGCTAGGAACAAAATCATATGCATAATTAGCACTGAAAGTCCTTACAGTTCAAACGTGTTGCTTTAGGTCAATTTAACTTTTACCTGTTAAAATAAGTAAAAAATAAATTTGTAAAATGATTTGTAAAGTGCTGTCTTTATAAGAGAAGCAGCTTTCCTGATTTCTTTTCACTGGTTTGAGGGGTAGAGCTATAAACCTGGTGAAGCATAATGTTAATACTGCTTGATCAAGCAAGAACGAACCACTTTATTTTACTTGCTTTGATTGTCACAAACCTGTCCTAATGCTTGCCTGTTGGTTGTTTGTACAGTTTTTAAGAAATATTACTACCATGGGCGCGCAGGAGACAGTTACTTGGAAAAAGCACGAACTGATGCTATTCCAAGCCTCGGCATCAATACCACCTTCTTGATGAATTCATCAGTGAGCAGATCCATGTCCCTAGAGAATCAAACAGGCACGCATGATGTGCATTATGGACGTGAAACTGCCGTCCTTAGTCTCATGTTGATGTTGGGTACCCTTTGGCTTGGTCATACGCTCTATCAGTTTAAGAAAAGGTGAGTTACTTCAGTCTTAGAGCTCAGACTACTGATTATTTCATATTACCTGTGAGGAATCACTAATGGTTTAGATCTTCAATTTTGTAACCCAGAAAAATCAGGTGGAACTCTTCCATTAGTGGCAGTGGAAGCCAAAGCCAGAGATTAACTTGGCTGGCCATCTGGAAAATGTTAGCAGCAGAACAAAATGTTCGGTCACTGGACGATGCCCTTCCGTATTTGGTTTGGCGTCGCAAGTGACTTTTTAGAAAGCTTTGGGTGAACCATGTATTTCATGTTGGAACTCCTGAAACTTGCCACAAATAGGCATTGAACAGTTTTGGGGGGCACAAATCCCTGATGGTGCTGGAAGGTCTACTGGGGAATGTACCTTCAGTGTGCTCTTGGGAGTCAAATGGCCAGCTCTCATTTGGGTTTTACTCCCATTGCCCTTAAAACTCTTCATTTGAAATGCTTGAGTAAGCAATTAAACTAAAATGGAAATGAGACACAAATTGGTGCTTGGAAGACTTTTTTCTAGCTTGCATCTTAGTTTCGTGTTTCTTTATGGGTTTTGCTTGTGCATTCATCAACCTTCAAAGGCCATATAGATTCCAGAGGATTTAAGGCTGAATTAAAGACCAATCCTTCACTCCAAATATCTCTTTAGAATTGCAAGATTGGACTGAATTTTCACTTGTTAAAGCATTAACAGTATCTGGATTGAGAAATTGTCCCTACAGTATGGTGTTGATGGAAATTTTTTGTCTTCAAATTGCAGCCCATATTTGCATGCAAGAGTACGTGAAATTCTGTCCGACTGTGCCTTACCGATTTCAGTATTGACTTTCTCTGTTGTGGGTTCCTATATCTTCAAGGAAATCGAAAGTAAGCTTATATTTCTATTCTCTGAAATACTGGGGGCAGTTATAAGTGAGCAATTAAGTTGTAAGGATGGAGGGAAGGGAAAAGAGAAATGAAATCCCAGGAAAGTTTTTCTAAAAAATAGCAAAGTGCTTATAATTTCACAAATACTACACGTACCACTCCCCACCCCAAGAACCCAGATTTTCTCAATATTAGATTTACTTCATTCAAAACCCTAACCAAACAAGGTAGAATGATGTTTTTTCTCTAGATAAATTATTCCAGTGTGTCTTTTAATTTCAATGTAATTTAAAATTGTATCTCTTACAATAAAGATCAACAATTTCTGGCGAAGAACAAAGGGCAGAGCAATTAGCAGGCAGGAAGGGTTGTTGCCAGTCATACAGACGTAGAGTTGATGATCCCAGTCTGTCCTCTTTGTCTCCAGTTTACGTTTTCCTAATTTAGGTGAAACGTTGCAGAGCATCTGGGCAGTTCTAAGTTATACAAGGAAATCTAAAAATGAGACACCATTCATTGGCCAAATAGATCAGCTTTTCCGTATCAGGAAGTGATAATGGGGACAGGAATTGCATTGTCCTGTGGTGACGTGAGTGGGTGATGTGAGGAAATGTATGGAAACAAATAAGAAATGGCTTTTTTCTGTGATGGCCATTCCATCCAGTTGGATTATAAAATGATGTGTGGCCATGTGTGATTTATCCCTAGTCATGGATTTCTTCCAGTGGCAGGAAAGTAGGGACATTTTATACTAAAATGCCTTGCGTGGCTATGGATATGAGGAAGTTTTAAACTGCCTCTGTTAGCTGATTAACTGAGCAGGGGGAGTATACTGCTAGTTAGAAATAAGGTTTTCTAATCTAAAAATGCCTCGCATCTGTGGAAAACAAGTTTCCCTCTTTTGTTTTGCTCAAATATATGTAATGCCTCACTGGAACTAGCAGTAATCTGTCAAATCAGGATGGCAGCCAAATTCCAGGAGGATGGAGGAAAAAATAAACTAAAACAGCCAGATGAGCCCGTCTGGTGTGGCCTTCTGGCTCCCACATGCCAGAGCATCATGCCTGGTTTGCTGCATTGGTTCCCAATAGTTCATGGTGCGGGTAAAACATAACTTGAGTCCATGCGGATGGTTGGATGAGAAGGTGCCTTCTAACATCATTCCCCTTCTCTTTCCAGTGTCCAAATTTAACTACAACCCATCTGAGAGCTTGTTTGTGCTGGCCCCGGTCCAGTCCCTCTCCATCGGGTCAGTGATGAGCGCCATGGGGCTGGGGTTCCTCCTGTCAATGCTCTTCTTCATAGAGCAGAACATCGTGGCGTCGCTCACAAATGCCCCGGAGAACAGGTAATGCTTTCAGTACTCCTCTTCCTCTGTGGAGGGATGTCCTCAAGTCTCTTCCCAGCACTGCTTGTCCAAAGCTTGTCTGAATATCAGAAAAGATTTTCAGGACATGTTCTTCAGCACTTCTGTCGTCACAGGTGAAAGTAACTCCACTGCTTAACTCCTCACCTTCTCCAAAACCCAATATTGTGGCAGTGAGTCAAAAATGCAAAGCATCAATGAGCTCATCACCTCAGCCTGTTTCTTCTTTGCCCATGTGTGAATGTTACGTAGGTATTTTGTATGCTTTGAGGTCTGTGGATGTACCTCCAGATATTTAGGGAGTGTCTGACCCATCTGGACACTTGCACTGCTCTTGCAGTATAGAGATTTTTTTGAAAATGAAAAGTCAGTGACTTGCACAAATGTCCTAGCATGATATGCTGCAGTTGAGCATCAGAAAAAGTGTTTGGAGCTGTTAGTCTGCAACTGAAAAGGTGGAAGTGAAGTAAAACAGTATGTCTAATGTCTGATAGGTCTGATTTATGTGCAAATTTGAGTCGAGATGTTGCACGACTAAAATATTCGTTCTGATGTTTTTGTGCCAACTGCAATCAGATATGATATCAAGAAAGAATGTGTATGACTTTTTCCAGGGAAACCACCATGTCTCAGAGGATTTTTTTTTTTTGCTAATGTAATGCGTGGGAGGGTTCTCTCCTTGCATAACATACATTAGCATTCTCCATGTTGTAGCTGGAGTGACACTGAATTAGGGGAGAGAAGACAAGCTCAAATTCAGTTATACTAATTTGGTTTTCTTTGACCACTTGATTTTTTTTCCTCTGATCTTCATTTTACCCCTTTAAGTAAAGCGTTGCATAAATCTGTAATGTAAGTGGGTCATCTCTTTCCTAAGTTTCTTCTAAACTTTCCACTAGGGTGTCTTTAAGGAATATAAAATATTCTTTGGAGTTCTTAGTGTTTTTCATAATGCTCTGTTACAGGGCTGAGCTTATGCTGATCAGGTATCGGGGCATGGGTTTTTAGAGATGGAAAAACTAGGACTTGACACCTTCCGTTTGTGGTACCATCCCAGAATAAAAATATTGTCATCTACACCAGCCAAATGGAGAATGTGCTGTTTGGTGTCTTACCAAATGTAGTGATTTCCTCGCGTAGAAAAAAACAGGGAAAAGATGATGCTTGCCTGAAAGTACTGATGTGCTTTGGTAAAGAATAATCACAGCAAGCTTATGGGAGAGTCCAAGGAATACTGGGCTGGCTGGGCAGTGTGAAGATAACCTAGGATAAGGCATCTAGATCTTTGTGTGGCGAGCTAGACATGTACGGTGGATAGCTCAGTGGAGCCTATCCATTGGTCAAAGCAGGTGTATACCACACACAGTTCTGCAAGACCGCTGGGACCAGTGTCCCAGGGGGACTGTTAGATGTATGGCCTTTGTCCAGAGAAAGCCCTCTGAGAAGGGCAGACAGGACAATCAAACAATAACCCTGGGGATGCCGGAGATGCCTTTTGCTCTGAGACTGCAGCACATGAGCAGGGGCTGTGCTTTCAAAATGTGAGCCAACATAGGAAGTGTGTTTACAATCCCACCCTTCCTGCCAGCACCTTCCAGCTTTCAGAGGCATTGCAATGTAGACATCTACCTGACCTAGTCACCCTGTGGCTACCTCAGTCAATGGAGGTGAGCACTTCCAGTGAGACAAGTCTTTTTGTTCCAAAACCGAACCCCACCCGAGATTTTTGCTGCCCAAGCAATGGCATCTGCTGCTCTTTGAGATAGACATTAGGCATAGATCTTCATGTGCTGGGTCACCATCCCTGGAAGTATTTAAAAGGCATGTAGATGAGGCGCTTAGGGACATGGTTTAGTGGGCATGGTGGTGTTGAGTTGACGGTTGGACTCCGATCTCTGAGAGGTCTTTTCCAACCTTAATGATTCTATGATTCTATATCTACTAGCTCTATGCACCTCATGTCCTAGAGCATCTCGGATGGCTCGAAGTCTCTGCTTAGGTATTGAATGGAGCTTGCTCGGGTGGCATTAAGACACCTAAATGGTGCCTCCCTTTCCAGTTGATGGTACCTGGAGAACAATTCAGCTGATCCCTTGTGTTATGTCAGGGTGACAACTGCTGTCTGCTCTGATGCCCAGGCAGAAACACAGCTATAGACCTTTAAGTTAGGTCAGTTAGCTGAATCCTTCCCCAGCCTTTTTCTAAACTTTACTCAAGGCATCTGAGCAGTTGGTACCAGATGGGTATATTCAGGAAAGGGGCAGATCTTGCAAAAAATGGCAAGGTTAAACTAGATGCGAGTTCAGTGTCAGCAGTGGGAATGTGAAGTGGTCAGCTTCCTTGGTGAAGGCTGCCAGTTTCCCCCTCCCCTAACAAACAAAACGGGGAGGCTACCCTGCATTCACCGAAGTTAGGAGCATATCTCCTTGGCTGACTACTAAGGAGAAGCTGAAGCTTAATGAATTCATGTCCCATTTCCTTATCACGCAGTAGCAATTACATAATTAGGGGATTGCTGCAGCATACTGAGCACATGTTCTGCCTGTGGGGAAGGAGGGAGATCAGGGTTAAAAACAAGACGGGTCAGAAACTTCAGTGCCAGTAGTTTGGCAACCCACGCCCATGGTCTCTAACCACTCCCCACGTGGATTCTGCTAGTGGATATATGTGTATGTTTTGAGTGGACTCTGCAGTAAATGTAGTGGCAAAACACTGATGAAATTTTCATGGGCTGTTATTTTAGTGGGTTGCCTTTCCTCTCAGTGTTGTTTCCAGGAGATGACTGCTTTGGGAGCAAACTATCAAGTTTCATTACCTTTCGTGTTCATGTAACGCAGGCTGTAAAGCAGGAGGAGTGTGAAATCGCTCTGTGCATGGAAGTGCATTTCGGTGTTTAGCATTCGAGCTCAGGTTCAGCAAGAGCAGCCTGTTACAGTTTGCACCGGGTGTAACTGCTGTCAACAAAAACCTCGTTTCAGGTTGGTGAAAGGAACAGCCTATCACTGGGACCTCCTTCTTGTTGCGCTGATTAACACGGGGCTGTCAGTCTTCGGCCTTCCGTGGATCCATGCTGCCTTCCCTCACTCCCCAATGCATGTCCGCGCCCTGGCCTACGTGGAGGAGAGGGTTGAAAATGGACACATCTACGAGACGTAAGTGGGAACCACGGAGCTGTCTTGGATCTCTTTGGTTTCATTTGTGGCTTCCTAATCCTTTGGGTACAGTGGGTTACGTGTTTGGGGAGTGAACTGTCTTCTTGAAGACCTGCAAGGTGGAGGGGAGATGCACCAAATGAAGCCACCTCAAGCCAGCATGGCCTGTGACCCTGCTTCATCCCCCTTCACCAAAGCGCTTGTTTTAGGACAGACGCAAATTTATGCTCTCGTCAGTGGCTGGCGGCAGCCTGCAGAGATTCCAACCCACTCTGGTGCAAATCGTCCTCTGGAAGAGTCGGCCAAGGCCTTTTTCAGGTTTATCCTTGTGGAAAGCTGAGGAGAGGCTTTGGCCAGATCTTTCCAGATGTCTTCACCAGAAGGAATCCAGTCTGATTCATTGCCTGAAACCTGTCTGGTGGTTATTACAAAGGGTAGGAAAAATGCAGCATTATTTCAGAGCTCCCATAGCATTTTCTGCCACGTTTCGGGAAGGCGAGATACTTATTAAATTCTCTTGTTTTTAAGCAAAAGCGACTGTGAAGCCATGCCCAGGTCACGGCTTTCTATTTAAGACCAGCTTTTTTGCTGTTCTGAGTTGTCACACACTCTTATCAGAGACCTCTTTAAAAAAAAAAAAAAAATTAAAAACCTAATTTCTCATGAAACCTGCTCCAGAATAGAGATTATCTGGTCTGTTTGATCTCAGTATGTTACAGTTGAGTGCTTTTACCTCAGAAGTGGTAATTTCCACGCACATGCCATTAGTTTTAATTATCCTGTCTTGGTTTCCATTTTCAGAGTTGCCACTTATCAAAAGTGAGGCTAAGTGGTCATTTACTTTAGGGGGTGGAGTGGGTCTGTCTTTTAATTTCAGTCTTGCCTTCATGCTGTTCTTGGTGCCAGCTGGCCCAGCCCAACCTGACATAGCTGCTTTTTGAGTCAGTGATGGACAGATTTTACCTTCCACATCTGGAAATTGCTGAGTCCTGCCGCTCCATGCAACGCTTTTACAGGCCTTTCCTGAGAAATCAGTCCCTTGGGCTTGTATTCCCATTAGTACATGCTGGTATTAGTTGTTCCCACAAGTATATCTCTCTTGAATAAATGCTAAACCCTATCTCAAAAAAAGCAACTTTGTAATTTGAGTTCTGTAGGGTTTTAATCCATGCCCTTGCTCCTGGTGTCCATGGTCTGCTCTGGGATACCTCTGCTCTCCATTTCTTTGAGAGATGCAGAATTTACACTTTGAAACCCATGTGCCAAGCCTCCCTCCTGTGTCTTCTGTTATCAGTTGTAATACCTGGCGGCTTTTTTCCTGTTTTGCCACCCACTGTCTTTATTCTGCACTCTGGCTTCTCCCTGACAAAGTCCAGTTTCCAGCCTGAATTAAGGACTACCTTCTGCCCTTGCCCTCTACTCCTTCACCCAGCTGCCCTAAAAGAGCATGGGAGAGTCCTCTTCAGCCATGCTAACCTAGGTATGGCTCCAGTGATTACCCTAAAAAGGACTGAGGGATGCCCTGATCTCACTAAGCATGTTCCCTCTCAACACTGCTATTCCTCTGCTGGAGGCAAATCGGTACGTAAATGAGTGCTGTCAACTCGGTATTGGGAGTGAAGAAGGGAACGAGGATTTCATGGTTATTTGAACTCTACTTGAGATTGAAGCTTTTTGTTTTCTGCAAAGCATTGAGCTATAAACAGGAGGCTCCGAGCAATGTTGTCATTGTTTTTTTCTTTTTTCTCTTAGTCAGCTCTGAAAAAGAAACATACTGAAGCTCAGTTAGAAAATCGGGAGTTCTTTCGGCGCTGGCTCCCTTGGCAGGCTTCTTTCCTGCACTCAAGTGAAAGCTCTCAGTGAGGACGATGATACAAACAAGACTAAAGATCTGTCACAATGAAAGCAAAATTTTCTTCTCCTCTGTAGAGTAACCACTTGAGTTTCATGTGGGAATCTGCAAATAGGCTCTCCTTACTCATGGAGGAGGTTGGGAGTGGCTAATCTTGTGCTAGCCATATTTAAAGGATTCTGGGGAAATGAGCCTGGATTATGCTCTTTTATCTCCGTTAATTACTTCATTTCCATTGCAGCACAGGCTTTCTGGAGCTGTTTCCTCAAGGGCCAAACCAGATTCTGAACCACATGCAAATTACAGGATTTCTTCTATTGACTTAATGTGACTGTTCTTGATGTCCTTACCCTGGAAATAAGAAAGGTGCTAGAATTGGCAAAGGACCAATTTGAGGCTGGGAACTTCAGCTTTAAAGATACTAAGTTTGGTCAATTATGAGCAATTTTAACTATGTTCTGATAAGAAATTCCAAATTACTTTAATAAATAGCATTAGTGGGAGCTGACGATAGTAGTTGCAGTACATCTTGTATGCGATCAAAGACTCTTCAATGCTGTGATTGCTGCATCCCCAAGAGATGACAGGCAGAAAATTTCATGAACTTCAAAAATCTATTACCAAAGGGCTGCTACTGTGAGCTGTTCTTGTACTTGCAGACTTGCATCTGATTGAAATGTGGTGGCTTCACATCTAGTTTTGATCCTGAGCTCTTTGGTTTGCATGACTTTACTTGCAAGGAACCTAGCAGACTTGTGCTCAGACTGATGCTTGCAGGTCACGAGCATTCCCAACAGTGGGTTAGATCTTTGCCTGAAATAGCAGAAACGCTTCCTCTGTAGCCAGGGGAACTCTTGCTGTAGCTGGATGAGGCTAAGTCAGTGCAAACTCCTGCTTTACTGGGCCACTCGAGAGGCTCATAGTGGTTCTGGTAGCTCTGAAGTAGTCTGACCGCTCGTTATAGGACTATCAAATTATGCTGAATTAGCTCTCTTAGTTGCACTTTAGGATGCTTGGCTCTGTCACCTCCAAGACTTCTGTTCTGTGGTGATCCAGACCTGGAGGCAGTGAAAAGGGTGCCAAACTATATGCACCTGGGTGATGTCCCAGTTCTTCCAGAGCTGGCAAGAGCAGTCTGCAGATAACAGTAGAGAGAAGTGCTCTACTCTCCCTTGGCTTCTCTAGGCATTGGCAGGGACCTCGTGACATAGGAAACTTGCAAGAGGATCTGAATAAAATCTGTTTGGAAGGAAGAAAGCTGTGGTTTCTGCTGTTTAAACGTAGCCAGGGGAGGGGGGAGGTTACTTAAAGGTTAACACCTCCTGTGCCTCTTCTCTTGTGCATCCTCAATAATATGTATGATCTGCCCCATTACTCACCAAGGAATTCAAGTGTGGTCGTCAGGACTTTGTGTACTGTTTGTGATCTCTGTTGTTCCTTAGGTCTCATGACTGCTCATGTTAATTCTGCCGTGTTCCCCAAATTCTGAGAGCAAGCCTTAGGCTGTTACCCTTTCCCTCTCTCTCTAAATACAGGTGTGGAAGGTTCCTTCATCCCCACAGCTTCATTATGCTCTTGAATGTATAAACAGAGTTGAAGTTCAACCTGACCTTATTTATAAGCAAGACTCTCAAACTTAATATTGAAAAGTTCACTGGGAAGCAATCTTCTTTGGGACAGAAGGGATTATGAAGTCTCAGCAGTGCATATGTAAAAGAGGGAAATATGTTTTGATAGATCTCGTGGCTGGCTCTTGTGTTAATCTTCAGTTTTTTGTGTACAGGGTTAATTTGGAATATGAGATCTTGCATCCAGGGAATGAGGCCACTAGATGACACCAAAACAGCCTGTGGACAAGAATTTCTCCTGATATAATAGGGGAATTTACTCACTAGCTTATCCACTGAATTGGTGGATTGATCTTCTGCAAAAAAGTTGTGTTAAGAATCCCTCTTTTCTCTATTTATAAGTAGTCTTGAAAGATGAGGGTTTTTTTTCCTCCTATTGTTTCTGGTAATTTTTTTTTTTTCAAATTAGGAGGAGATGCTCACAGGTTTAGTTGAAGTGAAAAGAAAACAAAGCAACTTCCCCTCACCTCCCAAATAGACTCTGAAAGTTGCTGCATGCTTTCCTGTCAGTGTTTTTGCCCCCCCTTAAAAAAAAAAAAAAAATCAGTCTGTGGTCTGTCACCTCTGGAAAATTTGCATTAATTAATTGCATGTTTTGCATGGTAATAGGCAATCTGCAGTGCAACTGCTATTATCCACAGCAGAATTAAATTTCTAGCTCCCTGTGTAGTGCTCCCAGCTTTCCCTTCCATATAAACAAGGAGATCCTCATATACATCAAAAATGCTGACTTGCAGTCAAGAGTGCAGCCTTTTTTTTTTTTACAAGAAGTTCATTAGTTCCTGTAGAAGTCAATGAGTTTTCTTTTGGATAAAAGCCAATTGCATATGCACTGGGTAAATCGAGGAAAGGATTACTGCCCAGAAAGAGGATTCTTGCCTGGGTTTTTTTGTTTGGTGTTTGGTTTTGGGGGTTTTTTTTGTGCAATGTGCTAAACAGAATTAGTTTAGAGGGCAATTTAGTTCAGGATAGGATCTGTGGAGCATTTCAGAAGGGGAATTTGGCATTTTTCCAGCTGCTCTGTTTGAGCTGTGGATTAAGTGCCTGGCCTGGATCCAGCAGAGCTCTGCCTTCTCAGTGTTAGCATGGGGCCAGAAGTGCTGATCTCAGTGCAGTGGAGATGAGTTTCCCTTTCCCGAGCGGCACGTGTCCTGCACCTACACAGAGTAGTGAGCCCCAGCAATACGCTTACATGAATACTGGGATATTATCCCACTCCCCTAATCCCTGTTTTCTTGCTTTCAGGATTGTGAGCGTGAAGGAGACCCGGCTGACAAGTCTAGTGGCAAACTTCTTGGTTGGCCTCTCGCTCCTGCTCCTTCCTTTCCCTCTCCAGTGGATCCCAAAGCCGGTCCTCTATGGCCTCTTCCTCTACATTGCATTGACCTCCATTGATGGGAACCAGCTCTTTGAAAGGGTGGTTCTCCTGCTTAAAGAACAGGTACACAGACTGGGGCACCAGCCTGGTGGAACAGATAAGGAAATTGTATTTACAACCTTAGCACCAAACTGTACCAGGAGCTAACACGGAAAGCTGCCGGTGTTGGGAATGGGGTTACCCCCAAAACTCATGCTCTCAGGAGGTGGATTTCCAGCTCCAACCTACACTTTGCATATCCCTTTCACCTTTCTCTGCAAAGAGGGATTGAAACTTGGTCTCTTGTTTAGCCTGGCTGCCACTGAGACATGAGCAAGAGAAGTCTTTTCCATTAAAGCGGACAAATGAGTGGGAGAATAATGCAGTGTCAAACAACAAAAGTGGCACGGTTGTTGTTGGGTTAAAAAAAGGTGGTAGCTGAATTGTTCATAGAATTGCATTGCATCTTGTCTGTCTGTCAAGTTCTGCATAAATTGCTTTCTGCATTTCCCTGCCACAGAAGTGTTCGAGCTTTTTCATGTTCAGAGCGATGTCTCGGATATAGTTGTCCTCTTTTCAGGCTGTTAAGAATTGCTCTGGAGCCCCTAGCTCCAGAAGGCAAGAATGAGTGCATGAGTGGAGCCAGGATAGCTGCTACCAGTGAAGACACCCCCTAACCTGTGTAGAGTGCAAATCAAAAATACATTCAAACAATGCCTTTTTAAAAAAACAGTTGCACAGACTGTTGCTCACTGAATATAGAGTGTTTGTAAGTTTTAAAAACCCACTGTGATGTCTGTCAGCTGCAGACTACATGCATTTTAAAATTAAAAAAAAAATAAAAAGCACAAGCATAATGTCAGTAAATTGTAATCTTTGATTTCCCTAACAAAGCTTCAGAACAGGTAATTTTTTTGCTATGTTTTACGCTTTCATTTTGACTTGTGTGAAATACCACGAGGTAGGATTTTAAACTCAAAATTAAATTACTTGCATTATTGAAACCCTTCTGATGTGGGATGAAAACAAATCTGGAAGATGGGTTATCAAGCCATCTCTATTACAAGTGCTAAGAAGGTGTTAGCTTGCAGTGTAGGCAGTACCTGGGAGCAACAGTGAGTCTCCTGCTCACCTTATCTTATGTAACAAGGGTCAAGGGCTTAATAAGCCCAACATTTGGCTCTGCATCTCTGTTAATCTCTAATAGAAGTTAAAACCGTGAAATCCGGGTAAAGATTACTTTTGTCATGTTAATTTTTGAATGAGGATTGAATAGTTACTGATGTATGTGGAATACTACTTCTGGGTTTAGTACAAATCACATGTGGAATTTTCCAAGCTTTAGTTTGGAAAATTAAAAGTATTCTCAAATATGGAGATCTCCCTTTTCTGGAAACCTTTTAGTGAGTCATGGCACAATCTGAAATCCATTGAGTCTGTATCGGTGCCAGCAGACAGTCGCTCATACTCTTCATTGATGTATAGACAGTGAGTCAAAGCCTGTGCTCAGACATGAGCAAGTAACTGTCAAAAGAAACCACGAGCGATATTTAGCCTATTAATGTCACTTTTTTCCCTTCTTTCTCAAAAATGGATAGCTTATGAGTTGAGAAAATCACTGCAGTCTGAGTGCAGCCTCTTCCCACACCTCCCCAGTCTCATCTCCTGGTCTTCCCCTGCTGGGGTTCAGCCAAGAAATGGGACCACCAGGGGCAAGCATGGAGTCTGATCAGCAGAGAACAGAAGGCTATAAAATAATGAGGAGCTGGATTTCAGGTGGAGAAACCATCCAGCAGTAACACCACCCGAATGCATCTGCTTACCGTCACCCCCCTGCCCACCCCCACAGGCACTTCACATGTTGCTGCAAAGCCCTGATAATCCTACTTAGGGGAATCTCATTACTGTACTTATCAAGATATTTTATTGCACTCCAGATGCTCCCAAAGGCAATCTTAGCTGTGTGGCGTGTCTTTTCTTCTCCAGGTTTCTAGTGCCCAGTCATCTTCTGTATGTTGCTGCCAATGCTGTGGTTTAAGACACTTGCTTTAACCCTATAAATCCGACGTTCAGCTGTTGAACCTGTTAAGGACTCTGATGTTGATGCACTCTGTGTGTGTGTAAATTGATGATTTCCTTAAAACCCTTGTGTTCAAAAGCCTGTGCCACATTCTGCAGTCGCAAGTCTAGGTCTCTGCATGTCTAACATGTAATTCTTCTCTTCCCAGACTGCTTATCCTCCGACACATTACATCCGCAGAGTGCCGCAGAGGAAGATCCACTACTTCACAGGCTTGCAGGTCCTGCAGCTCCTCATCCTCTGTGGTTTTGGCATGTCACCGTTGCCCTACATGAAGATGATCTTCCCGCTCATCATGATAGGGATGATCCCAATCAGGTACGAAGCTTGGCTGCCTTTTTTTTCCTGTCTCCCGTGCCTTTTGTCTTCAGGCTTGGACTGCAGGAAGTCTGAGTGGTCTAGAAGGGCAGCTGGTACTTTGCTGAGTAGCCAGATCCTGGAAGTGGGTGATGGTGACCTCTTCTTCACCAGCTGCTCAGGCTTGAGGAGGAATAGTGCTGAGAGCCTGTGATTTCACAGATGCTCAATGTTGTGCAAAGGGTTCTGGGCTGGCAGGTACTCTTCTTCAGGTAGCAGAGAGACAAATAAGTCTCCTTTTTCAGTGCCTGTGAGATACCTCATCTTCCCTAGAAGCTGTGGTCTGAGCCTTCCCTCTAGGGATTTGATAATGTTCCTTATTGCTTCGCAATTTGATTTCCTAAGGCTTGTGCTCGGAGCAGAGCTAGAAACTTTTCCGAAGAGGAATCCTTATCTCTTATCCAGTGCTGTGGTGACCTTACAGACCACCTGCACTGCTGAATGCCGTTGCCAATGATCAGTTAGGTCCAACTGGTTCACATTTAGTCTTAAAATGTATCTTTAAAACTGGGAGGACCCCACAATATCTTGCAGTCTTGAGAGAGAATCATTGAGAAATTTAACTAATTTCTTCCTTAATGTTCATTAACAGTGACTGCCCATCATTCTCCAGTTAAATCATTCATGCTCTCCATCCTTTGGATATAATGAGAAGCCGTAATAAGATCTTGGAAAGAACAGATCTGTTTCTAGTCCACTTGATTATTTTTAGTATGGCATCCAGCGATGTCTGGTTGTCTTTGAGCTTGCAGTCTCAGATTTTCTGTCCGATCTCAAAATTCAGGGCTACCAATGTGATAATCTGCCAAGGCAGCTATTGTGGTGTTTTCCTTGAGTGATAAAGATGGGTCCAGTTCTTTCTAAATCAAAAGCAAATGTCAAAACTACCATGGCTTTCAACAGGATCAGGTTAGAGCTATTTGGGCTGCCTTTTTAAAGATAAACAAAATCTTGGAAAACACTGAAATTATTGTTCCTATGGTAAGAGTCTCTCACCCACCCTTCACACAGGTGTCACTTTGGATGACTGGTTAAGTGGCTGGTAAATACTTCAACTGTGTGCAGTGCTGGATGATTGACTCTTGTGGAAATTGCAAGTCTCCGCACAGAGCAGCTCAGTACAGAAAAGAAAACGTGGGACACTCTTTGCCAAACATTCAAGTATTGGATATAGCATAATAAGCTAAATTAGTGTAGAGAGACTGCTGTGTCAAAGGACCTGATTTTGTAATAAGAGCTAGGTAATTTAGTGGTGCAAATATATCTTCTTTTGAGTAAATAAGATACTGTCATCTCATACTAGCTCTGTTGCTACCTCGTTTCTGTTTCCAGAGCAGCTTTTTCTAATAGCTGGATAATCAGCCCTGCTGCTGAGAGGAACATGGTGCTACCTGGCGCAATACAGAAATTTGCCCTTGGCTTTCCTTTCTCTGATTTCTTTTGCCTTCATGTAGTTTCTGTGGGCTCCAGCCGAGAAGGCAGCACCATGATGTGTGAGCTCTGTACTTAACAATGACTTTTTCACAAAGATTTGGCACTCTAAATAGATGAGACAGAGTAGAAGAAATGAAATATATTTTCTTTTTTTTCCCCCCAAGAAGTGAAGGGAGGAAGAGGAGATGGGAGAGTAGCCAGGGGTCAAAGTCAAGAATCAAACCCAGATGAGTGAGTCATGGCTCAGTGTCCCATCCAGAAAACCAGCCATGTTACTTGCCTGTCTCAAAGCCACACTTCCATCTGTCTGACAGCATTAGACGCATGATTTGCATTGTCAGTGGTGAAGGACCATCTTTTTCCACGGGTGTAGTGTTAATGTGAAAGATAATGGATTTCAATGGCTTCTCATTATTGCAGTGGAGAACAGCCTGTTGGGAGAAAATGTGATCTCTTTGGGTATCCCCAGTTCCTGGCTTTGAGTCAAAACTTTGGGATGACTAGTTTTTGGTTACACTCTAATCCCTGCCCTGAGGAGTACTGAGGTTAAGGTTGCTCAGAGAGGAAGAATCTTCTTTCCAAGTTCTCTGTGATGCTTATCTGTGCTCCCATGGCTCGCAAACATTTTTTTTCATGGCAGGTCTATTTAAGCAGATCCTGGTATGTCTCAGTAGTAAGTGCTGTTTGGGATCTCTTGCATGCTGTTGAAAAGGCCCTTGCAAGTCTTACTGGCTTTCCTAGTGCTTTGTGCTTTATTTTAACAGCTGAAGAATAGCTTCCTTGTTAAGCAAGGAAAAGCGTCAAACCAAATATGCGGTAGGATTTAATGAGAGCAACTTCATCACATATTACAGTGCCTTGCCTTTCTCACCCAAATAGGTTAATTCATGAGGATGTTCTTGCAAGCAAACAAATAGAAAAAACAAACCCCAAAAGTAAGGGAATCGCTGTCTCCATGATCAAATGGAGAATCCAGACACGGGATAGGGATGGATTCTTACCAGCAGCTGGAGGAATGAATGTCACAGCCCTTCTTAGCCTCTTGCCATGGTCTCAGGTCTTGCTGATAGACTTGTGCTTCTCTAAAGACCAAAGCTTCTGGGTTGTCTGTTAAAGCCGCTTTGTGGGAGAGCTGAAAGGAGTGAGCTGGGGTACTTGGAGAACTGAGGAAGTGCAAGACAACCCTCGAATGCAGGTCTCCGAGCCAGCCCTGTAAATTTAGAGGAGGGTTTCTCCTATGAGCTCTCAGTGCCTGGTGTTGATAGTGTTGTAATGAGTGTAAGGCTGCATCAGGTGGGGTTTGTGTGTTGGGAAAGTGGTGAAGAAAGGAGAAACTAGAAGTAAATGGTGATTCTTGGTAAAGTAACCCATCCACTAGCAAACTGGACGCAGCAGGAAGCTATTGCCTGTCTCCCCAGCACTAACCAGGAACATAGCTGTGGGTGAGGTGAGAGGGTACATTTTTGGCACCTTTAAGACTTTGTGGTGAGAGAGCTCTAAGAAAGAGATTTTCTCCTTGAGAATGATCTTTCCTCTTCAACTGAAATGAGGAGGCTGCTTCTAGGAGGAGCTCTGCACTGTTATTCCTATAAAAGCTGTATTTGCTTGCAGGATTGGTTGTTTTTACTTCTCCCCTTTAGCTGGGTGAATCTGTTGTATGCATGGCCATGGACAAACTCAACTCAGGACAGAGTCTGTCTCAGGACAGACAAAATGTTATACGACAATAAACAGGCACTAATGCTATCTCTCTGGTTCAATCTTAGGTATAACCTGCTCCCTAGGATCATCGAAGCCAAGTACTTGGATGCGATGGATGCAGAGCATTAAACGAGGTCCTCCACACACGGAGCAGTGAGGACAGCTTTTTTGGAGTTGAAAGGCAGATTTGCTGAGGCGTAGAACAATCTATCTGCAGTTCTTTCTTTCACCACTTTCTTTCTGCTCTAATATGGCATTGGTAATGCACACATATCAAAGACCAATTGAGCGTTGAAGTGACAGACCAAAACAGCCTTGGACTTGGGAGGCCGATGCTCTTTGGAGCTGTGAGGCAAGCAAGCTTTACGGAAATGCTACTTTCCACATCCCAAAACTGGAAACCCCAAAGATGAGCATGTCCGTACGGTTGGAGCATGCCTTCACAGAGTTGTCATGTGTTCCCTTGTTTGGGGGTGGGGGGGAATCTCTTTTTTATGCACCATGTCCCTTTCTTCCAAAACACTATAAGGACAGCAACTGACCCTTTTACAGAATGACAGTCCTGTTCTGGCCTTTGAATTCAATTTCCTGTGCATCCAGTATTCCCAAATTGGTATTCTGGGTGGGATGGCCTCATGCTAAACCACTGATGTCAGGAGAGATGTCTGGCCATCTCTTCAGATTGGCAGGGTTGGAAACAGATATACAATCCACGACTTTGGATGAATACTTAATTCCTACAAATGAGCTCGAAATGTTCAGAGGTTGGGCTCGCATGGTGATGTTGATGAAACCGTGTCTGTGTCTAAGCTATTTGGGAATTATTTCGAATCTTTCTGCCATTACTTCTCAGTAATCAAACACAGAAGTGTCGTTTTGCACAACAGCAACATTCTTGCTTGCACCCAGAGTCAGATGCTGAAACTTGTCAAAGGGCAGTTGTGTTAACGATTGCATATACATATGTACAGTAGTGCCTATGTGTACATATATACATATGGATTTGTGTATATATTTTGCATAGATATACAAATAGGCCTGATTCTTTCAAGATATCAAGTGTTTTGTGCAGACAGTGTTACCCGTGATGTCTTGACCATATACTCGTTCTCTGCTTCAGTGCTGCTTTTTCTCATTTGAGGTATGGTCACTCTTTTCCTTTTGAAGCTGCTCAGTTATTGTTTTTGTTCACGTGTTGCTTTATTCAAGGTGTTCCTTTGTTTTCTTCTTCCCATGGTTTGAGACCTTCATCATTCTATCTTGATGTTCCAACATGTGAATTTTGCATTTATTTTTAATGTACAGCATGCAATGAAAGTTTTCCTCTTCCGCCTAATCAATATTTGTTGGTCACTTCATTGTTTCTGTTTTGTAGCTACTTCTCCAGTTTTCCCCACTCCCAGACATTATATTATATTTCTGGATGAATCTAACTTCTGCTGTCTTTTATATTTCAGTTTGTTTAATTTTGCTTGTACTATGGTCAGTTTTCTTATTTGGAGTACTGTGAAACAAGCTGCCCTTTAGTTCAGTGCTTGCCCTTTGCCGCACACTACAGATCACAGGTAAAGTGTTAAGAAAAATGTGGACCTCTGAAGATATGAACTTTCAAAACTGCAGAAATGAGGGAAGAAGGGTAATATAAAATGAAATGCAAATATATTATTAGCACAGAGAAGTGTTTCTTACCGATTGCTTGCCCAGTAAATGGTGCAGAGGGTTTTTTTTATCAGACCATGCCCTACTGGTTGGGTGTTCCTCTGCATGATGAGGAAGACCAACTCTGTAATGGGGGAGGAAGGCATTGGGTAAAAAGCTCCTATGCTAAAACTAAGCCAGACTCAAGCCACTGAAGAGTTGGTGTATTTGCACTAAATATCAGATGGTATTTCATCTTAATATAGCTCCCTACAGCTTTAAAACATGTATGAAAAACTAAATTTTTATTTTCTTATGAAACCCTTCATCTTTGTATTGATACTTGATGGAGGAGAGCAGCAAGAGTGTTCCCAAGAACGTGGCCATGGCTAATATCTCCCAGAGTAATCGCAGGGGAAAGCCCTTAGCTTAGCAAACAAAACAGCATTGCGTGACCTTTGAAAGCATGACCTTCATGTTGCACCAGCCAACTCTTGTGGGACTGCTGAGAAGTCTCGCAGTCAGGATGACCACCCTGATACATCAAAGCAGGTAATGCCATGCATTTGGCTTTCAGTCAGTCTTGGGTAGCAGGAGTAACTCATGCCATGTCCGATAGGTGGCGTGACAGCAGGTATAAATATGTGTGTGGTTTCTGACCACCTTCATCAATATTTCCTAGCTTTTGAGTCATTTCTATGGTGAGATCGCTAATAGCTGTTACCAAGGTCTACGTGTAGAAACGGGGCAAACAGGATTTCGGGGCAGTGCAAAGGCGGAGGTGGTAAAAGCGTGTCTGATCTTCAGTCAACAGAAAAAGAGCAGGTGACAGCAAACAGTTCAGTACCTGTTGTAAGACAGGGAGTGCAAAGGCCTGATGATGCTTAAATAACACGCTTTTCCCACGGATGTCAAAAGATTTAACCAAAGGTAGAATGAAAAGCATCATCCTGTGGTTGAGTAAGCTATTAAACACACGTGTCCTGGGGTTGCATTTCTGGTGTCTCAGCTCTTGGCAGGAAGAAGTCACCCTGTGGGCTGGTTTAAATCATATCGTGGATGCTGTGGCTGGAGGAAGGAGAGGACATGCCCAAGGGAATGTGGCTCTGGTCCTCTTTGAGGAAGAGCAGAGGCCCTGGGTGAAATTTCTTCCAGCGCAGAGCATGGTGGGGTGAACTGGCATGCAGGTCTTGCCAGAGGAAATAGTTTTGAGATGTACCTTCCATCCCCCCACTTAGAATGACCAAAAATGTCCCCATTTAAAGCCTCTTTGAAAGCATCAGTTTCAGATAGTGTCAAATGTTGGTAACTGAGATCATTTAAAATCCATATAGCTGGGGTGTGTGTGTGTGTGTGTTAAATATCCTTCACAACTCTTGTTTATATCTTTTAGTGCTGTTGCTTTACCAGTATGACTTCAGTGTTCGTATTTTCTTTGTAGTGTCAATAGGATTCTGTTTTGCAGGGTTTTCTTTCTACAGAAGTCAGGGGCCAGAGAATCAACTGATGGGAAATCAGCACAACTCAGGAAAAGAAGTTGTGCTGGCTTAGACTGGATTTGGACCCACGTCTCAATATATGGGTAGAAGGGAGATGTGAGACTCAAGGCCTCTTGGCTCGTAAGGGGTTGTAATGATCCTGCAGAGGATTTTTTTCATGCAAGTACCTTTTCTCTTCTTGTTTGCTTCTGGTTTTGCTGACTTAAGTGCAGATGTTTCCAGGAAGTAGGCTAACTAGCGAAGGAGAGTTTGTTCAGAGTTGATTGAGCACTTTAATACTTCTGTGAAGGTTAAGACAATTAGAATGTAAAAGAAGTTTTATTATAAGCTCTTTATATACGCACAATGCTATGTATAACTGTTGCCAAAGAACTGGGTTTGAAAGATGTTGATAGCTGTTAAGAGAGTCTGTGATGTTCACCTGGAACTGCAAGGTAGTAAAAAGGCTTCTGAAATGAGTGGATTTTGGAAGTTACCTTTTGACAGCTGCCAAAACGATCAGAAACTGGGAATAGAATAAACTTCTACTCTCAAACTTGTGGTTTTTGATCCTTGCATTGAATGTAGGAGCTAGAAGTTAGCTTGACAATTAAAATTGGATTTATAACTGAATAGTTTTGTTGGTCTGAGACTTATTTTGTTGCCTTCAAAAATACTGTTGATGCGCTATGTATGGAAGTAGATGAGTTTCTCCATGTAAATTAAGGAAAGTTGGTGAAAACATGGACTGCTGCACAGGCAGCATAGCACTTTCTAGATTGCTTAGGAAGCAAATCTGACAACTTCACTAGCAACAATCCCCCAATTCTCTGGTGTCAACATTTGAAGCTATTAATAAATGTTAAGCTCTACTTGGATATGCATCAGTGCATTGCTGCGAAAGGATGGGGATGGAGTAAATGAATTCAACTGGTTTGCTTCAGAGCTGCCATCTGGTGAAATGCTTCAAGATGAGCCCAACAACTGTGGGATATGATACGCACTTCCTGGTGACCTGTGTGAACTGGGATGCTCTGAAAACAAATACAGTAGATGGTCGTGTTTCCATATTCTGTAGGTCAAACAATTCTCCCCAAAAGGTCCATATCCCCAGCTGTACCAAAAGACTTGAAACTGTTTGTAAACTTTTGCGTATCGTATTTGGCTGCTTCAGAAACTGCTGCTGAACTGTGTTCTCTGGACACTCTTTGAAGAAACATGAAGTTGGCCAAAGCTGGATATAGCTGGAGAACACTTGGGGGTGGGAGGGAAGGGATTTTTTGGTGGAGTTCTCAGCAACAAAAAAGGGACCCGAGACATGCCATGTCACCAAAAGCACCTACCATTTTCCAGTCTGTGTCCCACTGAGCATGGATCTACTCTATCTGTTGACACATGTTCACATTATTCCTTGAGCAAGCTTTTCTTGTTCATTGTGTTCTGTATCTGCCCTTTGTAGTGTTTCTACCTACCCTGGAAGGTTAATGGGCAGAACCAGGGTTGGCTCAAGCTCATCTCTTGTGTCTGTCCCCCTAAAACTTCAGTGCAAGCCATTTTCTCTGTCATCTCCTGACCCAGCTCTCATTTTTCCCAGCCCTTCCCTGGAAGTGGATTCTGGCATCCCCACTGTGGAAATGCTGCCGGAGTGCCGAGTGGGGAATTTTTCTCTGGAGAACTCGAGCCTGTGTCTGAGCAACAGCATGGCAGCGGCTGCTCCCTTGGGGCTCGCTTTGCCATAATAGGCAATTATGAAGGATTCATAATTGTCCTACAGTTGCACTGTCTTCTGCATCTCTTTAGATGATTACTTTATGGCACAGTGTTCCAGTTGGGCTGGAACATCCTTTCATCTGTCAAGCTTCCCAAACAACTTAAATGGACATAATGGGATGGGTTTGCCCCTTTTTCTATCTGTGCTGAGGCCTGTGGATGTTAGAAGAGAATAGTTTTCTCTAATTGTTTTCATATCTAATTAAGTCGTTTAAGTACCAAACCCTGTCCATTACACTACTGGCTGCAGATCTGGTTGCAAAGAGCAAACCATCAATATTGTGTAAAGAGCAGACAGACGAGGGAGTTGCCAGAGTACATGCTTTAGAAATACAAATTAGCACTTTCCTCTTCAGCTTTTGTGTGTTTTCCTTTCAAACTAAGACAATCCTTGGCTGTGTCTTTCTTTTCCCTTGTAAAAGAACTCTGCATGAGCTTGGATCACTTGGCACTGTTCTGCTGTCGCATTAAATATTAAGAGCTTGTCCTGGGGGAGATGCTGCCTTCTGCTCTCCATCTGCATCTCTGCTGCAAAGAGCTGCTTGCTTGGAGAGCTGAAGTCTGCCGCTCTTGGAGCGGAAGAC